TATTTGTAACAAAAATACATTGAATTGGAGTATTCAAAACCTTAGAAAATAGGTAAATATGATTATAATGCAGTAGGATTTATTGTCTCACTGAAGATGGAATGTGTCCAGTGATCCCAATGCTTTAAGAAAATCAGGATTTCCTTTGCTATGACCTCTTTAGGACTTCATAAAGTCCCTGATAAAGTGCCAGGAGGAAGGATGAAGGACACGAGCAGGGAGATAGCTGAGTAAGACCTGGCTTAGCATGAGCAGTGCTGGGCTGTGTTCAGAGAAGGGGTGATTGAATTGGCCTGCCACTGATTTCAACACTCAGCTATTTCCAAACTGTTTTAGTGTTGGGAACGTGAAAAGGAAGACTGGTCCTGAGGAGCGGGGAGCACAGTATGTGGCAGGAAGTGCTGAATGATTCTGAGGTCTGGAGTTTTGGGGAAAAAGGAGAAATTTAGAAGTAAAATAAGTACTGAGGGACCAAACCCAGCAAGACAGAAGCTAATAAACAACAAGTATGGAGAAGAGGTACTGCCATCTCATGCAAAGTATGAACACCAGTGTATGCTGCTCTTGTCACTTACCTTGAAAAAGGATTGATGTGATCTAGAGCAAATGCAAAGAAAAGTTATGAAAATGGTTAGGAAACTTCCGAACTCTCCTGTGAGTCGAAACCTTTTTTGGGGGGTAAGGGAACTGCAAAGTTTATGAGGAGGTAGGGTTATGGTCTATACAGTCCAGAGCACACATGTGAGGAAGAAGAGCTTTTAAGTGAAAGGACTTTTGAAACACGAACAATTGGATGGAAGTCAGTAAACATGCAATTTTAAAGGTTTTTATTCATAATAAAGAGCAGTAAGAGTAATACAGCCATTCAGGTGGAACAGGAATTATTATTCATCCCGTTTTATTTAGAGTGAAGCATGATAACTTTGTAAAAAGTGTATCATAAGCTTGTGATAACCCAGAGTAAACACAGGCTGATGACCCTGGAGGTTTCTGCACAGTTTCTGTATCTTTATGGGTATTTGAGTCTGTGGAAGGTAAAGCAGTGTATATAAAACATTGTCTAGTTCTTCAATAAAAGCAGCATTCAAGTTATTTAATACTAGCATGTCTTTATTTCTCATAAAATTGCTTAATTATGTTGGTATGGTAAAGAGAGCTTTAAGTCAAAACTATTCTAGGAGCTCATGGTAAGAAAAGGCAAAAGAGCTACAGCATCAGCTCAGGATCACAGAAGTTGCTGTTAGGATTTGAGGGAAAATAGAACAAGAAGTTTCACTTCTGATGCAAATCTTGGGAACTAGGAGCTCGATGCAGCTATGGGCATAATAGTGTCATTCTGAATTCATGAAAATAGCTTTACAAATGGAGGAGAGGCAAAGTGGGGTCAGTGCAATTCAAGCACTCGATGACAATTTTAGCCTAAATAGAATGCTCTTTGTGACTAGATGAATTAATTACTGTAAGACAGCGTTCTTGCTTGTCATTCTGATTCTTTCTGCTTGTTAATCACTCCTAAATTGTAGCTATTGCAATATTAAGATTTATTACGTATGTGTTTTTGCTAAGCTATTTTTGAGTTTAGTGTATTTTTGAGTTTAGCATATTAATGTCAATATTTTAAAAGCCTTATTTTACATTTCTACCCTTCTTTAGTACTTCCTTGATCGTCTTTAGTACTTTCTTTCTGCCTATTAAGTATTATTGTTCTACCCAAACACTGTATGACTGTTTTAAAATGTTTCGCTTTTGTAGTCAAGCTTAATTTCCATATTAAGCAAGTGTCACGACATGCCAAGTCTGAGCTGAGGAAGGGATGAGGTACGTGAAAAATAAGCTGCAGTGTCAAAGAGAAGGAACATCTCTCGTACGGTTTAGCTGCCTCTTCATGTTGCACTGCTGTTGGGCAGCAGATTCAGTATCGCTCCTCGTATTTCTTGTGACAGTGGTAAAACATGGCAGAAAACTTGGGTTTACTGAAGATACTAACAGAACTGAGTGTGGTATGAATGGGAAGGAGTCTTGCCCTCTGCTGATCATATGGAAGACTTTAAACATGAAACCTGGGAAGAATCTTCTCTGATACCGTGACTTGTAGTAAAAAGGAAACTGAGCAAAAGATAGTAGTGAAATGTATATATTTATTTGCAAAAATAAAGCACTTATATTTGGCTGTACAAATCATTGAAGTCTTGCTAAGTTTATTTTTCCTCTTTTTTTTTTTTCCCAAATAGCTGCTGATCTTTTGAAAAAATAATTGGGGGAATTAATCTTCTATTTATCCAAACTATTCTGTATTCTTTCTCTGTAGTTTTTTGTTTGTTTAATTACAAGGAACATTTGCATGAAAATAGGATTTTAAGACTTGAGCTGCTTCTGATGTTTTTCCCAGATACGCGCCGTAAGCCACATTTATTGTATCTGTAAACCAGAACAGCTATTGTTATGTAAAATTCTTTGCATGCTTTTTTCCTTCTTTGTTTTTTTTCACACTGAGTTATTAATAAATATTAGTGAATTTGCTTTAAGAAAGTTTCCCCCCTGCCCCTGCAATGATGTACTGTAATCATGTACTGTAATGTATAACATTTTTTTCCCCCTCTTATGTGTCTCCTTCAAGGCTTTCTAAAGAAGTCATTTTGGTACCCATCTCATTCTGGGGCTAATTCAAACTAGACTTCTATAGTTTCATCCATTTTTTAAGATAAATAGCATTCTGTGCCCAACAGTCTTTTGAGTTAGACTAAAGTTTGCAAAAGCTCTTTGAGTTTTTTAGTTTTTTCATCTTTCCATTTAGAAAGTCTTCGGAACATTCCTTTGTTAAGGAAAGCAGATAGATTTACAAGAAAATGTTTCTGCAGTGAAGCTCAAATCTAGCTCCTGTCTTTTGCAGATATTTTCCCCAAGAATGATCATCAGATGACAGAGAAACTACTTGAGTTTAGGTACAAACTGTTCACTGGATTGCTGCAAAAATAGAAAGAAGGGAGGCAGCAGGCTGCTCTACAAGTTCTAAAGTAAACTCTTTTTTTTTTTTAAACCTCATCAACAGAATATTTTTTTAAAATTATGATCTCCTAAAAAAATATTTTCTGAAATATACATTAGGTTCTGGGTGGGCAGGTTAGATGCTTAGTGACCTAATACATACTTTTTGACCCAAGAAATTTATTTTTACTACTTCTCTCCAAGTTCTGTTTTCCCACAACAGATAATATTTAGATTATTTTTTATCTATCTTGCAAAATGTGAAAATTATTCTATAAAAGAGATGAGATTTTTATGACTCTGAATTACAGAATAATTAGTTCATCATTCATATGCGGAATTACTGAACTTTGAGCGTATTAAAATAATTATTTCTTTGACTGTAAAGTTTAACATTTCTGACTTCCATTCTTCTAGATTTCAAATATTGGGAAGCTGAAAGACTTTCTTCTGCAACACAGGAAAGATTACATTAATGCTTACAGGTAAGTGTGTACTTTCTTATTATTATTATTTTCAGATATATAAAATTTGAAAAAAAAAAAGGCGGTAGGCATAGTTACTAAAATAAGCTATAGTTTGCTCTAAGCTATTTCAATTGAAAAATAATCCTGTCACAAGAAGATGGTCCTAAATAAAATGTGGATCAGAGTCTGAATATGATTTACGATCCAAGCTCCGCACCTTCTAAGGACAAGCAGAGTAAGCTACTGAGATAGTCTTGTGCTGTTTCAAGATCCGTGATCCAGCTTATCCTTGTAATTCTGTGACCTTAGCCCTATCTATTACCTCTAAGCATATAGCTAGCACCTTCAGCAGATTCTGGAGGTGCATGATGTGAACTCATGACACTCTGAAATGTGCTTTGTGAGGGGAGGGACATCACTGAGCATGCTGTGTTGGGGACACCAGCACTGAATGTATTGGCTTTTCTGTGACAAATCAGGCTTCAGTTCTGATGATCAGAGTTGCGCAGAGGAAGCTTTAATTCTCTTCAGCCACTCTGAAACATTCACCATTGCTGAATCTGCTTACTGGCTGATAGCTTTGCTAGTAGGACTTTTCGAAGATTAAAACAGAAGTTTATTTACACGATGGTGCTAGTAAGAAGGAGAAAAAAAGAGAGTATCTTACAGTCTACTGGTGTACTGTTCTTATTAATTAGTTATCAAGCTAACCTAAGACCTAAAAGTTTAATATTACTACAAGTTGTATTTTGAATAGCTTAGCACAAATAGTCGTATCATCTGACACAGAAATGTGTTTCTTAATGAAACTTTTGTTACATGCAAATTTTACTTATACTATAAGTCACACAATATTGCATTCCAGAAATGTACAGTACTTCATTGGTATCTTAATGAACTCAGCTATTGTAGAAATGGGCTTGTGCCACACATTTGACCATTATAAATAATTATTTGAAATAAGTAGATAACCTTTTCCTGTCATCATGGTTAATTCTTGTGGGCCTGCATTAATCTTTTCTCTTACTCTCCTTCACCCTTCTCAGTCTATAGTTATATCTGGGAGAGCAGGAAAAAAAAAAAAAAGGCATTCACACTTTAAAATTTCCATCCTAACTGGGATGCCTTAAAGAATGGGGTTACAACCTTTAATGCAGAAGCTGTTAAATTTTGTACCAAGGAGAGTTTGCAGATTGTAAGGGTGCAGCCTTTAATTCAAGGAGAATGGCATCAAGGTATTCCTGCGGCCACTGAAGTGGCTTATTGTTACATTGCCCTTCTCAAAAAATCAATTTAAAAAACCTAACCATCTTTTTTTTTCCACGGTCGTCTGAGAAAAGGCCTATGCAGTTCAAGTAAAATAGAGCAGGTTTTTTACTTTGAAGGAATGGCTGTGAACTCCAGAATTTCCTGTGGTGTTTTTCCAATCACTGCAGTATTGCACAAATCCAGACATCCCTGTCAATGTTCTGATTTTACCACAACTCCGAGTGAACTAAGCTACAACTGAGGTAGTAGAGAAAACACAGCTTCAATCCAAGTGTTGAAGATGTTGAGTCCCTAATTAGTTTTAATGCCTTTCTGTGGAGAGCTTCACAGGTACGAAACAGGAAAGTTTTCCAGACAGAGGTATTTACATTCTGCATAAGAGGATGAAGGGAACAGATGAACTTCAGCATTGTCCGTATTGGAGGAACACTCTTAGAAGAAGCTTCCTACTCGAAAGGGTCATAGCTGTAGCAATAGTGTATGATTCGGCTGGTATCCGAATGTGTCCCTAAATAAGTTGCCAGAAGATTTCTGGCACCTTTCCTCACATCCACTCCAATATTTTAAAAACAGCATTTTGATATTGTAGGAGTGAAACAAACAAACAACAAAAAAGAGGTTTTCAGCATATTTTAAACTTGTAGGACAGTGAGATATGTTCCTTATCACTACCAGGAAAATGAAGCTCGGCCCTCTCTCCCTTTCTGTGCATGGGTAGATATATCTGAGTTCTCTGTGAAGGTGTAGGAGGAACTGCTTTTCCAAGCAGCAGGCAAAAGTGTCACAGAGCTGTGGGATACGACCTGCTCTCTGTTTTTGAATTCTTGTTTGGGATAGCTAATGAGCAACACTAGGTGGAGCCACCAATTTAATACTGAAATAACTCTTTATTGTGTGAAAGCTTAAATGAATGCCTGAACTGAGATGCTGCAAATAATTACAGTAAGGACACACCATGAGTAGCAGTTAACTTTTGAGTTCTCTTTGTGACTTATTAGCAGAAACAGCTATAAAAGTGATTATCCGAGCTATTTTGGCTTCTAAAAGTTGATTATTTTGTTTAATAAATTCTCTTTCATCCAGTAATCAGGTACTTCTCAGTGATTTTCTTATTTTCTTTAGGCATTAGCTAAAAAGGCGAAAGGAAAGAGGAGAGCTTTTCATTCTTAAACCATAAAAAGCCCTCTAAATCTCTGAGATCTCTGAGATCTATTCCAGTTGATCCTATCCTTAAAGGTCAAACTTAAAATAGATAGGATTGTCAAACTCTATTGTAGATTACTTATGCAATTCTACTTTGTGGATAAAAGAGAGCCGTAGTCTCCAGCCTGTCTCCTAGCTTCAGCAAATACCTTCGTCTTTCAAAACAGCAATTTTAGTAACTTTTCAATACTTAAACTATGGGAAAAAAAAATAAACAATTTAATGCTAGTGGGATAACCTGGAAATTTTGTAGGTGGTTTAATTTTGCTAATGGCATTGGATTACTCCTTATTTTGCCAATTCTGCTGTTTGTTTTTCAACTTCAGAAAAAAGTATTAGTGATTTGTCTTTCAAGTCACTTACTTGAATTATTCAACTTTATGAAACTTCTGCATAGTCTAGGTATTTGATTGCTTCTTTGATTTTACTTTTGCACACTCTGAATTATTTACTAATAATGTCTTTTAGTTGTGGCTTACGTTAAATGTCCTGCTATAAAGGGGAGATCTTTGATTTTTAGAGAAAGATTTAACAATGGCAAGGATAGCTGTAGAGAGTTAAGTGAAATTTAGGCCCAGACCCATTTTTATCAAATTTAAATACTGAACTTAAATGCCTAAATTGAGTGCAAAAAGCTTAAGAATCAGTAATTAAATTGCTCATATGCCTTTTCTGTTGTGGTCGTTCTTGACTTGACTTTTATCAATAAAATATGTGCATGGGAAAGCATCTTAAAACTAGTGCTGCAGTATCTTAGCTTGCTAAAGTAAAATTATTCCTTTGTTCCTTCATCTTCATCTGTTTATCCAGACTTGTTTGCTGCCTCTTACACTTGGTTTTTAGGTTTTCTGTGTTAAGGAATTTTGCGGTTTTTCTCCTTGCTATTGTGGTTCTGATCTGTGGCTAGAACTACTAAGAGCTTTAGTAATACAAATGATGAATGAACTTTCACTGACGATGCAAGCTGTGATGGAAGGCCTACTCTGGAAATTGGCCTGCTAGAAGACTCTGATTTACAGAGGAGTACATGATCCTCCTTCCAATGTATGGTTGTTGCTTATAATTTGGCTTTGAAACTGTGAGTTGTTTTATTTTCTAAAGTTGTAGCAATAATTGTGGCAACTTGGGGTTTTCATGCATGAGCATTTTTAAGTAAAGTTGTATATAATGAAAGCACTGAATAAGTAGCAAAGGGTATGAGTGATCCATATTATTATCAGTTGTATCTACTAAGGGAAGGACTCATAATGTTAAATACAACATTATATTTAACAATAGAGACTTGTCTTAAAAAGAAAACTAATGGTTTTATTTAAAAGATCATAATTTATAGGAGATGTTTTCAAATATTTTCTTTTTGGCTCAGTTGATCATCTTCATACTTACACATTTCAAAGGTAACTTTAAATTTCTCACAGTCTTTTCATAATCATTCATAATCAATGATTGCATTCATTAAAGTGGGTGTTTTTGTAAGAAACTGCTTTTGAACGTTGATTCCTGCATGGTTTTGACCTCTGAGCTGCCAAGGCAATTCTGTGTTTCTTGTTTCTCTCTACCGTTCTGGGAAGTGGTTGAGGTGTATCAATCACAACCTGTACATTCGGAATGGTCCTCTTGGTTTCCTCCATGGTCTCTTGAAAGGATCTCCCAAGGCTGAGATGCTTTAAAGACCTTTAGTTATTTCTAATGCTTTAGTCAGATATTTGGATTTACTTGAGAGACTTCTAGATTTGTTGACCACCTCATATTGGAAGGAGGAAACTTTGAGAGAAGAACTTTCTTGTTAGGCATCAAAATTACTATCTTCTGCAGTTTGTTTTTATGCACATGTTCACGCTGTGACTTGCATCACATGTGACACTTTTCTCTCATGTCTCCTCATTTGCTCACTCATGTAGTAGCACCAAGTTATGACAGTGCCCTCCAACAGTTGTTGTTTCTGCTGAAAATCGCAACAAATAGTTTTATTGACATAACAGGAGGTACTTGTTTTGGTGTGCTTCCATCCTTGCCTTCCTAAGGAGATTGGGGTTTCAAGTATCCTTGACTTGAGTGGTTTGACCAGATCTTGTTTAAAAGTGTTGGCACCAGATGATGCAGATATAAGCAATTATATAGATATATATATTTTTTCCTTCTGGATGAAATTGCATTTTGCTACCTTTGAAGCAAAGGTAGCTCCTACTTAAAATTGCTCCTATTTAAAAATTTAGGCTACTGTAGTTTTATATTAGCCACTGGAAAAAGTAGCTGAACAACCTGTTTTCCAGTGCCAGGGCTGTTAGTTATCCTTGATGTATGATTAGTTTACTAATAATTACCCTATTATTAAAAATAAAACATGCCTGAAGCAGTATTTTAAAGTCTAATTTAAAAAAATATTTTGGGCTGGATTTTTTAATCTTTTTTTTTTTTTTTTTTTTTTGCCTTGTCATGTTTAAAATGCATAGAAAACATAGAACTGTTCACATGCCACAAGGTTGGGTAGGGTGCAAGAACCTAGAATACAAATAAAAGAGCTTTTTATTACGTTCAGTATCACAGCAGCCAAAACTGATTATCATGGCCTGAAAAAGAATAGTGGAGACTTCTTGCTTTGTGAAGGAGCCATCATGAAGCTATTATTCCATCCTGCTCTTCTAGCTGAATTTGAGTGCCCTGCATATCCAAGTAACTCTGTAGTTGGGGCTTGCTGCAAAATGCTGCACGTTACCCCACACCACACGATCTTGCTGGTCCCCCTCTGGCTGGGCCTGCGCAGGCGTGAGTACACAGAAGGGTTGTGCTGGCTTTGCAGGTGCTCAGAACTTGCCTTACGCCTCAGTAAAAGAGTATGAGTGGAGGCAGAGGTCTGTCATGGGTAGTTTATATTCCATATGTGACTATCAATATGTATCTTCTTTGGCCTGTGGAAAGGCTTTCGGCCACCTATCTCTACGATTAGATAATTGCTAAAACATTTGTAATTATGAAGCTGTTTTATAAGAGGCTGTAGATTAGAGTTGTAGCTTATGAGATAACTGAGGAGACTTCCGATAGAGGTATTGCCCCAGAGTAGTGAAACCTGCATGTCCTGTCCAAAGGAGAGCAATTCCAATCATAAAACGTAAACAGAAATCTTTTGTGAATGCTTTTCTGTAAGTTATAAGCTGTTACAAAAAAAAACAAGAGTAGTTTTAATCAGAGGGCAAAAAAGACATGACAGCTACATGCAAATAGATGAATCCATGGAAAACTACCATGAATAAAATACAGAATATTACTTTATATTAGCTAGCTTTTTCTGTCAGTCAGCAGTTGCCAGCCCTCAAACCAGGCATAGTGTCCAATGCTCTACTCTTATGCCACCAGCATACAAGGAAGGCCAGAATACTTTGACATAACGCCCAGGAACATTGGAGTTAGCCTAAAACTCTGAGGCGGAAATCTGGGATTATCACAGTGTCTGCACACTGAAGATGTAGGAAGGAATGTGTTTTATTAAAGTGTGACGTGTGAGAAGGTAGTGAAGCGACTGTGAATGGTTGTAGGTGGCTGCGATGGCAGCGCACGTAGGGAGGGTTTGGCAGCGTCACGGTGGAGTATGTAAGGGACATCTCTAGGACATCGGGCTGTGCTGTCCTTGCAAAGTGAAGATTAGCTCTTTATTCGTGTGTGTGTGTGTATTCCTAATATTATATAATATACTTTGAAAAGGTGAAAAAACTTTCTCATGTAAACAAAAATCTGCCTTAAAATGAGTATATGAATAAGGTTGTCCTTACTGATTTTTAAATGAGAGATACAATGATCTATAGCTACTATATGATCAGGAAATCCATGATGAACATTGGATAAGGCACTCTAGCAAAGTTTTATTGACCAGTGTTCCAAAACTGTGGAATCACTACTAAATACCTTCATATAGAATTCCATTTCCTAATGGGTATCTACAATATATTAATATTTTACAAGAATAAAGAAAACAAAAAAATCCATAAGACTTTTGGAGCAAACCCGTTAATTCATTGGACTCATTGAATGGAAAGTTTTGCCTAACATTCATTGCTATTACTTGGCCTTTTGTAGCTGGAGTCTATTTTTATTAACTTGTTAACAAAAATATACATTAATCTTATTAGAAACTTTTAAATAGATAATGTATTCTCTAAAATTAGAGGTAAGTGGCCAGAAAAGATCTTAACTTAGTCTACTTCATATTAAAAATACACTATTTTCTTATAATCCTCCCTACCGTTTGAATTGACAGATGACATAGCATACCTACTTCAAAAATGACTTTGAGCATTTTGAGTAATAAAACATGCGTTTAATTTATTAGAACTGTAATCTATAATGTATTATAATTATAATAAATTATAATATATATTATAATATTAAATAATTATATAGTAATTATTTAAAATAATTATTATGTAATTATTTAATGAAATTTAGTTCCAATGTTCTTCCTTTTGGTGCTTGGGCTATTCCTCTATCCTTCTTGTTTTCTTGTTTTTAAAATGAAGTATGCCTGACTTGTGTAAGTACTGATTTCTTCCCAAATCATTTCCCAGTCCTAGTTTTTAAAAACTCACAGCTTTATAGAAGTGGCGTTTTTATCAGAATTATGGATATTCCCCTTTAAGAATAATTTATATCTTAGTTTTTTTTACGTGAAAATCAGTGTTGACAAAAAGCCTCTGTGGAGATGGTTAGTGAGAGGGAGGCCCAAATTTTGGGGACTGTTAAAATGACTGTTTTTCTTGTTTTCCAGCCATATTATGTCTGAATATGTGAGGATGACGGATGCAGAGCGTGATCAGATTGATCAAGATGCTCAGATATTTATGAGGACGTGTGCGGATGCCATTCATCAGCTGAGAACAGAAGGTAAATTGAGAAACTTCTACGTATTTTTTGTTCATTATAGATAAAAGCTAATGTAATACTGAATATTGGATGGTGGTTTAGAACCTGAACTGCAGGAGAGGAAAAAAAAAAAAAAAAAAAGCAGTAAAATCTCAAAGCAGTAAAATCTCATTTCTGTTTTGTTTGCACCTGTGTAATGCCATTGACTGGTTAATGCAATGCTTGAGTTATTTTAGCGCTAATGAAAGCCAGCAGGTAGAATTTTCTTTATTTGTTTATATACTAGTCAGTGTGAGCACTGGCACAGAGACGTGAACCAAAGCTCACAAAAATCAATAGTTACCTCCATCTAGTTTGTCAGTCTGCAAGGTATTAAGAGTATAGACTGTCTTCCATATTTGAGATAATCCAATCACTGAATGCAGTAGAATAAATTCTATATCATAACTCTTTAAAGATTTTAATCAAATATGAATATTTTCTTGCATAATTGTATAGCCCTTAGAAATTTGATCTCTAGCAAAATAAAACAAAAAAAAAAGGCAGAACCCAATGGTCATTTCGAGTTTTCTGGCAGGAAAAACTGCGTGTTGTTTGTTTTTGTTTGTTTGTTTGTTTGTTTTACCCCTCTCCTCTCCCCTGTTCTTTTAATAGAAAAGTTACTAATATATCAAAAGACATCAGCTTTGTTATAAGAAGTGTTAATGACACTGCTCTTCTTGATGTGGTCATTGTTGAACATAGTTTCAGTAAAGTAACAGGTATTTCTGATAACTTGAGGATAAGATGAATCTTTCACAGAACCGCCTTAGGGCTGTTCAAGAGCAAAGATCAAACTTCTGTTTTGCCTTTTCCAACTCAGCTGCTTTATGTCTATGTTTCATTGGTATCTGAAGATGAATTCCAAAGTACAGGAGAAGAAGAAAAATACTTAAACTGGTAGTTCATTTTCGTGAAAATGAAGGCACTTTTTAGGAGGTGAAACTAGGATGTAAAGCGTGTCCATCCTTTTCTTAAAGTTCAGTTTACTCCGATGTTGTCTGGAAACACAGGATACCTTTCCTAGAAAGTAAGCCTGCTGTCAGCGCGGGCAAAGTATGCCAAAGATTTTCTCAACTTGGAAATGCCATCTAAACATACTTGCAGTAAAATTCGGAATCACTGGAAGCAATTCATGCATAGGAGCTTCAGAGCATTAAAATAAGAAACTTTAATGTGTATGAATTAAAAGAATGCTTGACACAGTAGGAACCAAAGCATAGTCCGTAGTCTAAATACTGGAGAACTGAAGGTGTTAGAGCTTCAGCATCTTAGGCAAGCCAAGTCTCTAGTTCTGTTTTGCTGTGCTTACCTTGATGGCACGTATTCTTGTTTAGAAATGTAATAGACATAATATGACAATAAACAGTAGGCCTTCAAGAATCAAAAAAATAAGGATCAGATGACAGCAAGTGGTTTGGGGCTTTAGTATGTTGTAATAATTTGCTGTTTTGCAGATGTGAATATAAGGTATATCTATGTTAAATTGTATAGTGTTAAATAGGCTGCTGAATACAACTTGCATATAGACTGAGAACACGGACTTTTTTGCAGTTGAATGTAAAGCTAAAAGTTTATATCTTTCTTTTGCATTTCAGCACACAAGGGTGTCCAGTCTGCGCAGGTGAAGGAGCACAGAACAGCTGTCTTGGACTTTGTTGAGGATTATTTAAAAAGTACTAAATGGTTATTTTTCCTGAAATATTGAATGGTTAAAAATGAATACTTGATTGCTCTTTCCAAGAAAGAAATGCTGATCTGACCTCAGATTTTGATCTATGTTATTTTGAACAGGAGTGTGCAAGCTGTACTCCGAACAAAGAGCCATCCGAGTCAAGCGAGTAATAGACAAGAAGAGACTGTGAGTAGTGTGCCCTCATGTTTTAAACACAACAAAAATGAAACGTTTAACTGTACCTTTAGTTTGTAGGACATTTAGAACAAATTCATGTTTAGAACCTAATGAGGTTCTCTTAGATGGAAAGCCATAGTTGGACATGCTTCCTGCACTGTGAGCAGCTGCATTCCAAAGCTCTGAGATGTTTCTTTTAGTGCTTTGTTCCTTTTATTTTGGCTTACGTTCTTTGTTTTTCTTTTATGAATGTGAGAATTTAAGTCAGCACGACAATGGATATTGTTGTATTTTTTGTATACACTAATAGTTAAACCATCAAATTGGTAAAATGTGGGTTAATGTAGAACTGGAGTTCTACAAAAACATCATAATATTTTCATATGTCCTGTTAATAGTAAACTGTGTAAAATATTCTAGTGTGGAATCTTACTCATTTATAATATGTGTCAATGATGCTGTGCAGAATATCAAGATACCATCTGTTTAGGTATGAGGGATGTTCCTTTTTCTCTCATCTCTCTCTTTAAAACCACCATCTTTCTGATAAAACAAGTGATTAGATTGCAAATAAATGCTACTTGAGACAGTGGGATTTCTTGCTATGTAGAAACCTAGTAAAAATCAAAACTTTTTAATTTAAAGAAAGCAGCTTCTGCTTCCTGTCGTGATGGCTTACATACATTCAAACTGTAAAAAAGTCTAGGAGAAGTTGGAGATATGCGCTTGCTGTTTTGTCTGTTTTTGTTTTTTTTTTTCTTTTGTCTTGTTTTTGTTTTTTCCTCTTGCCAAGTATCAGAACTAGAGCATTTCAGAGTTTTCTCTTACTGCACACTGTCAGGTGTGAGAGTGACAGTGAGAATGCACAAGTTTGCAAATTGGTAATTTTTTTTAAAACCTCAGAAGTCCTCTCTCATCAATATGCGGTATTTGAGTTCTAGCCTTAAGTTCTCTTGCGGGCATTCACTTATGAAAATAAAGAATATTATAACATACGTCAACAGATAAATTCTTGAGTGTGTTTCCAGGAACTGATACTGCTTTATCAGTTTGGTGTTTGACTAGATGAGCTATGCACAGTAAAACTAGAGAGATGTATTCAGACATCCAGATGGGAAGTACATTTTATTTGGAGTGATTCAGCATGATTAAATATAATTGGATTCACTCAAATTTATCCTCCCGGGACATGAATAATAGGACAACCCAAAAACTAATGAACAAAATGCACTCAACCAATTCCGAAATTTGGTAGAAGTAATTATGAGAGAAAAGCAAGATAAAGCCTTGGTAGTCTTAAAACTCCTGTATCTTTTTAGAAAATAATAATATAGAAACAAAATAGTCTGGTATTTTTAGTGTGCAGGAATACATAACCTTGTCAGTATTTTTCATGGTGAAGCACTTCAAAGGAAGATAGCATGGTTCCTGCCCTTCCATAATTGGCTAATAAATATCAGCTCTTGGTCACTGTGCTCCTCTGCTACTGCTTCCATGTGAAATCCCAGTTTCAGTTTTCTCAGAGGGCTAAACCTAGGGGGAAAGAAGTCAATCTGATGTACAGTAAGCAGAGAGCAAAGAGCTATGTCAGAAGTTAAAATATCACTTAACTGAGCAGCAGTAAGGCATGAAAAAATGACCCAGAAGATGAAGTTCTTTTATGGAACGTTGGAAGATACTTGTATGCCTCTCTCGTATAGATTTAAGAACGAAAATATACGTTAGCTGTGTGGAGCCTGAATGCAATGTAGATGTGATGTAAGGGCCAAATTGCCATTTACATGAAAATACATTTTAAATAAATCATGGAGTGTGAATTCATCTTTCTGATGACTTGTAGAAATGCTGTCTTCTTTCATATGTCTTCAAGTAGTTGATTTGTAATTTCCCTAAGGATTTAAGTAGACACTTATGTGCTAATAAGTATATATTCCATCACTTAAAATGCCTTGCAAACTGTACATTAGCATATTGTGGGAAGTCAGGACAACAAACAGTAAAGGTAAATATATATTTAAAAAGAAACTAAGCCTAGTGCAGATCTTCTTTCCTGACATTTAATCGGCATAAAATATGTACTTGTTAGACAATTCTGAAGGATTTGTAATAAAAATTTGCTCCATTATGCTTCCTTTTAGATAGGTATGCATTCAAAGTTCTTCAACTAATTGCATGAGTGTTGTAGTTTTCTTAAGTAATATAACCTGTCTTTATGTATTAACTCACATTACTTTGGCAAAAAGTTATGCCAGTTGCGTTGCATTGGTTCCCAAGAATTAAATCTTCAGAATACAAACATAGTGAGGGTGATTTGTGCGTGCGTGTGATTTTGTAATGGTACCTTGTTGCAGTGTTAATTATGGGAAATTGAAAGTTACGTTTCATTTCCAATGTTAAACTTTTTTTTTTACCATTAGAATCCCCATTAGAATTTATGGTTAAAGATGTATGCAATTCTTAAAAAGTGAACATAGCTTTTATTCAAATAAATCTGATGTTTAGTATCTGAGGAATGGACGTTTTACTAGCTTCAGAAGTATTATTTGAACTACACAAATATCCAGATTTATTTTCCTCAGCATTAGTCAAATCTGGGTCTTGAGAGGGAAGGAGATAAGGGGTGAGGGGTGTTTGTTTATTTGCTTGTCTTTTTCTTAGTTTATTTTTGTTTTGTTTTTGATAAATTTTCTCAAACCCTAGCACTTATAGATAGCTTTTATAACTTAGAAGGATTCCCTGTTACCTTTTGTCTTTCTTCATCTTTCAATAGTCACCCAGTGATGACTAATGAACTCTATTCTGTTTTTACCTCAACATTTTCTAATTAAGGGTTAGAATTTAGACACAGTAAAATAAGGAAAGGAACACAAAATGCAACACCTTCTGTTAAGCAGCGGGGGAAGATTGCAGATCATAATGAGATTATCTGCTGAGTGTGTTTGGGAGGGGAGGAAGGATGAAGGTGGCACAACGGCATTCAGCTTGTTACATTTTATTTTTCAGTCGTTTGTGTTCGAACTGCAAATTTTCACCAACCTTCAGATGTCTTACTATGAAGCTAGGCTGCTCTAATAGCATAATTGTTAGGCATCTAGATATCTACTGTATAGCTGCTACAGAATTCATCATAGTATCCTGAATAAAATATATTGCTGTTAGTTTTAAACTCTTTTGGTGGTATGATGAAACAGGCTCCACACATCTACTATGTAATCACTGAATATGTTTCCTATATATGGTCAGCTGTGGTTGTTCTCATTTTACAGCAATCCAGTTGTATTAAGCCATGTAAATTATAGGTTCTTGTACTTCTAGGTCCAGACTTGAACCAGAGCAAAGCAACAAGTCCAGCTCCCCTCTTTCCCCCGAGAAGCTTTCACAGAATTCATCATCTTTAGATGATCCTGAGGAAAAGCTGTCTGCTGAGGAAACCAAAGGTAAGAATAACAACTAGTCAGATCTTACTTGTGGCCAGCACTGTCCATTCGTTAGTACTTTCTTCATACTGCAAAGGCTGCTATAAGGCTTCTTCCTGTGCCTTGCAGCTTTTTATTTTCTTTTTCCCTGGGTTGACCAGGGTTTTGTGAAGCAGCCGGGAGACTGAGGAAACCAAGTCTTAAACTTCAACATGTTTCAGGGCCATTTGTCAGCCGTCTAAGAGAGGCTTCTGATGTCTTGCTGGATGGCTTCTTCCTCATAAGTTCTGTGCAACCTTTTCACTTCTTTATTATTTTTTTAATATTCCTTAATTGCATGTGTCTGAGAACTTAGGTAGATAGTTCCCAGATTCTTTTCACCAATGGAAAGAAAATGGCAAGTAGCTCAGCTGCTTGTGAGGAACATTTTCTAGCCTTTAAACTTGGATCCTTTACAATAGGATTTGGAATACATAGGTCTTCCTTGTAGAGGAGAGGTTACTGGGTGGCCAGGTTCAATAATTTTGGGAATGTTTTTATCTGGAGCATTAAATCTCCTTGCTGAAAAGACTATCTTGCATCTGGTGTTGCACTAGGCAGGAAGCACCCAGAAGTCCAAAGCAGTGTCTTCTGTCACCTATTGCTTGGAATGGCCCCTTGGTCTGTTCTGGGATGTGTGAACTGCCCTAACTCCCTTGTCACTGCCATTCTGAGAAATACCAATGTGCAGATAATTCCAGGTTTCATAAATGAAAAGAACTCTTGTTTCTGGGATTCCCATGTTGCTTTTGCTGTCTTGAATTCTGCTGTCTGAAATACAGTGTGATTACAGCATGGAAATGTTTTTTGGATAGAAACAGAAATTTTATTAAATATGATATTACATGAGGATACTATTTTGTCAAGGTAGAAAAAATGCATTGAATGGCCATATTATTTTTATCATCAGTTATTTCTTGCCTCATTTTTGTTGAAAGTTTCCTTTCCATAGGAAACGGAAAAGACCTTTCCCTTAGGCTGTCACAGAGGATGGATTTATATGAAGTGGGTCCTCCATTTCTGGAGGAAAATTACTTCCCAGTGTGCAAACCTTTGATTTTCTGATATGGTTTTGCTTTTCTACTTAACCAGCTCGTACTTCTGCAGCCCCATCAGTACACTTTTTTTCTCCTTAGACTTTACAGTGAGGTAAAGGTTTTGATTATGTGTCACTTCTAGCGCCCACAGCACTTCCATAGCGTGTCTCAGTGATGCAGCACACAGACACAGAGATAAGTTTCACCGTATCATGTTATCAGTATTTTGCAGCTGTGAGCTTGTGCCAGCAAGGAGGCAGCAATCTGGGAGCATCCCTTGTCCCTCTGCTGTCCCCTGGTTGCTGAATGTCTCTAGTGTGTGGGAGCGTGCCCTGCCACCACCAGACTGCAGCTCTGAGATGGGGCTGTGCCACGGGAGATGGTGTTGGGTTGCCTTGGACACAGTAAAGCACTACAGCAAACGGATGAAATGTTGTTCATGGCATGTCTGCTTCCACAAGCGATGCTGGTGCAGTGCCCAAGAGGGGATGCTGACTAATCTGGGAGAAAACTGAAACCTATATATCAAAATAGTTCATAAATGCATACGATATATGCAGTTCCTCTGTTACGTGTAAGTATTGGTTGCTGCTGTTTATAGAAATCACCCTCGTGACTTCACTAGTAGATATTTGTGACTGCAAAGGAAAAAGCTCAGGTTAAATGCTATAATCTTGGGTGTGTATTTTTTTTTTCACAAGTAACTTTCAGATTTTTAAGGAATAGTAAAAATGGTTATGTTTAGAAATAAATTATTTCATCCTCAGCCTGTCAGTGGTTTAGAAATCTGTCTCCAGCGTGCCCGGGTCCCTTGCGTAAATCTCAGCTGCAAAGCTAATTCTTCCGAGAGTAGCTTGGGCTCCTGTCTTTGGTTTGAGCATCATGAGAAATAGCCAAATGCTTTACTTCGGGTGCTGAAGTACAACCTGTGCTTTTTGTTTGTTGGTTTGTTGCAGGAGGGACAGAAACCAAAGCGGAATGTGATTACTTTTGCTTTGAGATAAAACAAAACTCCTGTTTACCTCAGAATTACACCGAACATGCCTCACTGAAGGAAGATATAAACTAAGTGGCCAGTTTCTAATACATAAATAAATACTGGCAACATATGAAAATAATCTCCAGAGTGTAAGCAATGAGCAGCGTTTGAACCAGTCACTAGCTTAGCAGTTGTCTCGTTTCAGCCCAGAAAATGGTGCAGATGGAGAGTTGCTTTACACCTCGCCCCTGCATCAACTAGTCTTGTTTCTGCAAAGGAAATGGAGTTAACCGGTTTTCCTTGGTCTGGCGCTTGCCGGGTGAGCTGCAGAGGAGCTTTAGTGTGAGCTCCAGGAGGGCTGCAGAGAAGCTTCCCCGGAGCTGAAGGTGCCGCAGCGACCGGGGAGCTCTGGGGAGATCCGTGTGTCTCGCTCCCCTCTTCATCATAAGTGCCCTGACTTATTAGCAACCACATTGGATACAGGTGCTCTTTCCTAATGGTGCTGCCAGGCCCGGAAAGTAATTGGTTCCTTTGGGATAAGAAGGAATATATATTGCTTCTTTGCCCTGTAAACTAGTTATCGTCTCTTCTCCGAATCAAGTAAATAATTCATTATAATTTTTGTGCAGCATAAATCCATGATTACCTGAAAAAAGCAGTTTTGTGTCTCTGTGAAACAGATTTGAAATACTGATGATGCCCCATAAAAAACAATAACCTTTCCAAACGATCTTTTTTAAAAAAAAGAAAAGCTTTTATTTATTGATGATTTGTAAGAAATAAAAGATCTATTCTTATGAAAGTATAAAAAGTTTTTTATTTTTTTAAATAAAGGATATATTCCTTATTAGTTAGACTCTATACTTCCTTTGTAACACTGTCCCTGTTTCTACATCCTGATTCAGTTGTTGGGATGCAAAATATGCAATTTTAGAGTGAAATAACAATATTCTTTTGTGATACTTACTTTTCAGGCACTTTCACTAACAGATACTGATTATTAAGGGGAAAATTTTCCCCTATATTACTTTTCATATAAGCAGCAGTTGTTTTTAGGGGCTTTCCAAGAAGTCAGTATCTGAATGATAGGGCTGCTTGTATAATTGAAAGAATTCAGGTATGAAAGGTTGCAACAAAGCAAATAGAAATACATGAAGTACCTGCCTATAATAACTAGCAAGTTTGAAATCTCTTAAAATAAAAACTAAATCTTTTTATATTTGACTTCTAACTTGTCCGATATTTCTGTTCTGGGACGGTGCAAATCTGTATTCTGGGTTTTGTAAAAATGCTGCAGCCAGTGGGGGAAGGGAAGAGGCCGTCCCAAGATTTGTCACATCTTTAGAATTTCAAAGGCCGATGCTAAAATAGCTTTAGTAATAGGAGGTTCCTATAGGATAGTTTCTTTTCTCTCCCATTTTAACATTTTTCTATAATCGGAAGTATATAATTAATCCTAAAAATAAAGCTTCCAGAGGGAATATCCTAGAAATAGCCTTTCAAGATGTTTTGTGTCCCACTCCTGCTAAGATTTCTGCAGATGATTAGCTTTAATCAAAGGAGAAGTGCTACTGCAATCAGTGCAGCAGGCAGGATGTGCAGGTGCTGGGCTTGGGATTTGCACTGTGCCAGGCAGCTTGGACAGTGCAAGGAAGTGGAATTTGGCCTGGAAACTTTGCCCAAAATTTCTCTGAGATCTTCTTTTCCATGTTGAGGAATGAGGAGCTGGTGGTTCTGTCAAATCTCAAGGGAAGGAGTAGTTTGTATATAGGCTATCATTTTGAAAGTTGTGTGTTGTCTTCTATTAAAATTCAAGTATTTCAGAGTTTTGCAGCCAAAGGAGTCTTAGTGCTTCCTGCGTTGTTTTATATGCCTCGCCAGCACTATTGCAGTGCAGCTCGTCAGGGTTCAGATAATTGAATACCTGTGTAGACCTCTGTCCTAGCCAGAAGTTTAGCCTTATTGAGGTAATGGTAAGATGGAGATACAGGATGAATCTCAGTTAATGAGAGGAAATTAATAATTTCATCTATTTCATGAATAGAAAATGCTTTGCACTTTGCTGCATTGTCTGAAGTTTCTGGTGGTTCTTTTACAGACAGGAATTTGCCTGATGCCCATAGTAACCTTGGATTATGGGGCGATGGCAAAGGTGAAGATGAGCTTTCACCTGAAGAGATACAAATGGTAAGTGTGCTTTTTCCATCTGTTGTCCACTTTATTATATCTTCTACTCTATCCATATGCGTTAAAGAAAGGTAAATTCACCCACATTCTCTTTCAACTTTCATTCTGTTCAGAGTGACTCGAGAACAAGGTATTTACCTTTTGTGTGTGGCTTCCTTGTTCTTCTGCAAACAGCTAGTGTTTAAAATTGCTACATTAGCTATTGGAAGGAATAGCTGCAGACTTTCCTTCACATCAGTATCTCATGAATGCTACCTTCTGTATATCCCCACTCTTGAGTATTCCTTAATCTAGTTCTGCCTGTAACTGAACTGTTATATTAGATTTCTGAAATACAAATGATTGATGCCATCCGATCTGTTATTTTCGATATTTCTAAAATATATCTATTCTGTACGTGGTCCAGAGTTCTTCGGAAGCCTCTCTGTGTTAACACTTACTGTGTTGTTTTATATAAAGAAATAACTGATTTATAATTGGATATTATTGAATGGAAAGTCTCCAAGATGGTGAGATCTACAAAGGCAAAGCGGTGCCTCAGTGTGAGTGTTTGAAGCTTCCTTGGCAGTGACGAGCGCAGTTCCCAAATGGAGTGTGTGTCACTCTTCCAGTCAGGGATGAGTAAGTTGTGTGCAATTATGTACGGCTTGTCAAAGAGAAAAGATGCTTCAGATGCTGCTCTAGGCACAAGCACTTTGTTTCTCAATGTCAGCCTGAATCAAAAGGCTTTCTTGTCCTTGCCTTATTCATTATTTCTTTCTCTCTGCGTTGTTTGGGCACAATATTATTAACCCCTTTATCACAAGCTTCCAGGAGATCAGGAGGAAACAAGTATCCGAGGTGACAGCTCTGTAAGGCTTTACTAATAATTCACTACGAAATGAGACAGGCTGCTTTTTGTAGGCCTCCCTCATGCTCTAGTGAGTTTTAAAACTGTTATATCTCTTGCCATGGTATGTTGGGAGTGCAGATACTGCTTTTTTATGGAATCCTTTTATATTTTCTAGAATAAGCCTCCAGATATCTCACAGCTTAACTGAATTGTCTTAGTCTGTGAGGTTTGGCTTTAATCTCCTGTTAGCCAGAGTGAAGGAGGATAAGCATCTGCAGATGGAGATTTTACTCGCAGAAGATTTGAAGATTAAGTTCTGGATTAAGTTCTCTCTATTGACTTGTGAGGGGGAGTGGTTCTATTCTAAGAAATCGAGGGTTAAAAAAAAAAAAGGATTCATAGTCTGGTCCTTTTAAAGAGTTCTAGGTTCCTAAATATCCAGTCCTGAATCAATTATTGTCTGGCATTCTGCCAGTTACTCCTGAGGTAGAACCATTTTTAGAAAATCCGTTATTGTTTTTTACCCTTTCAAAGTTATCTATGGTATGGTGCTTTTTGTTTTTTTTTGTGTTGGTAGCTCTACACTTCCTGCAAAAAGTGATACAAAAGCAACACTGATGCTCCAAGTTACAATAGCAAGTGTGTTTTACTCCTTGTTTACATGGTTCTGCCTATAGTTTGCAAGAAAATATATTGTATATGACACTGCCCTGGTGTCACTGCTGATGACCCGTCTTTGACACTTTTAACCTCAGCTTTAAATTTGCCTGCCTCTTCAATGGAAAAAACACAGATGGGAAAGAAAAGCAACAGATTAAAATGTTAGTGGAAAAAACTTTGCAGTCATATATATATTATATATATATAATATATAAATATGTTGAAAGACTATTACTGGTCTTGTGGAGTATTTTGCTCCTCAGATTACCACATGATATGCTTTCTGGTTATATACTCTTTAGAACTTGGATGTCAAAAGTAAGACTGGGGAAGTAGAACTGGAGAAGCTGCTGCTTGAACTGTCCTCGCAGACAGCTGGTCTGACCTGGGTGGCTGATTTCCCTGCGATCCTGGGAGCTGAAGCTTCCTGTGGCCCTGATCTTAGTCCGGGCTCCTCTCTGCTGCTTCACTCGCTGCGGGCTGACCCCGGTGCTCGTGCCCACCAGGAACAAGGGCTGTCTGCATCTCTGCTGCTCACCCAGAGCGCGAGCCTGGGCTCCTGGCTCTGCTGGGAGGAAATACAGCCTCTTTCTGCCTCTACTAAATATTATCCCCACACTGCACCTTGAGAGGAGACTACTGAAGTAAGAGAGTCGCCACTCGTGGCAGTAATAGTATAGGTGATTTTTTTCTCTCCTCCCTGTGTGATTGTCAAGTAGAAAATGAGCTGATTGTGCCTAGTTAATACTCCTTGATGGAGGCAATTTTGAGGGGGTGACTTTTTCAGAATTGAACTGGATACCTTATATTGGAGTTGCCAAACTGTAAACAGAGAGTTTACAGGTTTCTGTAATGTACAGCAACACATTGTTTGCTGCAGTTTTACATTTGAAGTCTTTGCCACTAACGTATTGATGTTTACAGCTTAGCAAACTATTCTCTTCTGTGGACCTAAAGTGACTTCTGTCTCAGTTTATGAATATCACTATTAGGTAATTTACAGAGCCTTAAAGATATGTGTTATGGTGAAGCTGCTCCCTTTCAGTGCTTTGGCCTTTCTGGGTAATGTTGGATATTGTGCAATGTCCATTCCTGTCAGACTCTGAAAAGAATGACAAGTCACATAACTCGTATGTAAATCTGGGTCCGAGATGTAAGCAGGTATAAATATTGGTGTAAATGGGAAAAATCCAAGTATGCGCCTTGCTTTTTTCATTGCCTTGGGACACTCCCAAATGAAATCATACCAACCTGGCAGCACTCACTGGCTTTATTGTGCCCTTAGGGCAGAGTCCAGGGGGTTCTTTGCAAACCCTTAGGAACCAGCCCGGTTTTAGATAACCGATTCCCTAATTATTTCCCCTCTGCGTTATGTTTGCTGCTACAGACAACTGAATTTTGACTTTCTAAGTGTTTGATTTGTGAAGAGCGGATTTAACTGCATTTAAGTTACTCAATAAAATCCAGGAACACTCAGAAGGAAGAAGATAGGTTACAGCCCAGAAACGGCTGTATCGGTTTTAAATTGGAATGTGTTGTGGCAAATTGTCCTTACGGTTCTCAGTGATGGTTTCATGGTCCTTCCTGCGGGTAAAATAATGAATTAAAGCCCTATCATATGGCTGCAATGGCAATTTAACTCGTTATTTCACCCACAGGAGAGATCGTTACATGATTCAAAATGGTTGCAGGCTATTGTATGATTTGCACAATAAATTTCAGTTTATAACCCTTCGTACAGGTATATTAATGTTTTTATAGTTATTGTGAGCAGATGTGTTACGGTCAGATTGAGTGGAAAAGAAAATAGTTCCTGCTGTTTGAGTTGTGAAAATGTCTCATTTTTCCTGTCTCTTTCTGTCTTACTTTTTGTCTTAACCAAAATCAGATACATTTAATGATTCATCTCGTGGGATAACGAAAAATACTCTGATTATTTCATCTAGTTGTTAGATTCTGAAAAAAGTCTATATAATTTGTCACTCTGTGCCATACTTTGGTAACAGAATATTTTACTTTCAGAAAAAGCAGTTACTTTAATAAGTCATAAACTGTTGAGCTGTATTGATTGCTATAGTCTGTTTTATGTTCCTCTTGTGTAAATTCTTGTGTGACACGTTGATGTACAATGTGTCCCGCGTTTTACCCTTTTGTTCAGTTGACTGTTTCATCATATCTTGCTGCTGCTTGAGACCAGTAATTCATCAGTCCTGCTTTCAAATTGCAGAGTGTATCTAGCAGCGTTCAAAAAGAATTCCATGCCGATAGAGGGTTTTAAATATCACAGGGACTTTTATAATAATACTTCTCAAGTGGATGTGTGCTATTTGTAAGGGATTAAAAGCACCCACTGTTTCCTTATTGAAAATTTGCCTTCTAAATTGCCTATCGTCTTGGGTTTTGCTAAGACGGCTTAAAGCATGGAGCTGCTGGTGCGGAGTATTTGTGCGGAAACGGTTACTCCTACAGCCGGGCGGGGGAGGCTGGCGGCGCGCGCGTCCCGCCCGGCTAACGGCCCCTCCCTAACGGCCCCTCCTAACGGTCCTCCCGTCCCGCGGCGCCGCGCGGCTCCTCAGGGCTCTCTCCCTTGCCTCTGTCCTGCGCTAAGACGGCTTAAAGCATGGAGCTGCTGGTGCGGAGTATTTGTGCGGAAACGGTTACTCCTACAGCCGGGCGGGGGAGGCTGGCGGCGCGCGCGTCCCGCCCGGCTAACGGCCCCTCCCTAACGGCCCCTCCTAACGGTCCTCCCGTCCCGCGGCGCCGCGCGGCTCCTCAGGGCTCTCTCCCTTGCCTCTGTCCTGCGGCGACTCCCCCCACATCACAGGCTTCCAGTGCGAAGCTCAAGGGCTGCGATGGTAACACCCACTTAACTCCCTGTTTTTTTGAAGTAAATGTCAGTGTGTTCAGTGATGAAATTTTAACGAACGCTCCGCCCAGCACTGTGGAAGTGGTAGCGCCCTGCGAGCGCTGCCCTGCTGTTAAAGCAGAAACGTTAACTCTTTAGGCAGGAACGAGGGGCACGGGGCAGCCGCGCAGGGCATCTCCTTCAGCCCCGGGCCAGCCTTGCCCTCTGCTCTGGGGCCGGGGAACCTCTGCTGCAAAAAGACGCTTATATTTTAAAAGAAATTAAAAATATTTTTATTACTATAATAAAATGAGTATGCCAGAAACTATGGCATACCCTAAGCCTTTTCCTAAGAGATTAACTGTTACCTTCTTTAATTAAAAAAAAAACCAAGAGTCCCTTCCCATTCACTTGTGCCAGATTAAGCCCACAGATTTGTATTTGTTAACGTGGCAAGGCTCCCCCGAGCCTGGCATGGCTTCAGCCCATGGGAGCTCCAGCTTCTTAATCCAGCAGGAAATCCAGGAGGAAACTGGGCAGGTGCCCAGTGAAGGGGCTGAGCTGCCATACCGTGGAACGGGATGAGCAGCAGCACCTGCTTAGGGGAGGAGGGGAGCAGCACTGATCTCTCTATGGCTCCATGCTCTCCTTTTTCGAAAGGCTGTACCCCAGTGCAGTGCCACGAGTTACTGACTGCTGTAGAGGGGAGGAGAGTACTCCTGTACTGTGCAATACGCTGTGAGGGTCTGAATGCAACTCGTACTAGAGCCGCTAATGTCCATGTTGTATCTTAATGAACTGCCTTGTTTAAACCAGATGGAAATGCCAAGTTCTTCGTTTTCAGTAACACTGCTTTTGTGGCAATTGTCCCTCTGCCTCTCAGCAATGCAGCGTGACCCTCTCTCTGACCCAACAAATTCCCTGTGATTCAGGCATTTCCCACATCCTCCCTCCTTTTTTGTGCACAAGATGACAGATGTTCCCAGATGCTGACCTGCCGTCTCCTCAGGGAAGTGCCGCCCTTTCTCCCAGCTTTTGGAAGGCTTTGGGAAGCCTGGGATGAGCTGCCAGGCACCACGCGGGACCTTGCGGGGTCCCTAAGGGCAGCGCCGCGTTTTCCCTGCTCGTGGAACTGCCACTCGAGGGATGAAGCTCATGTCCCAGAGTGCCTGGCAGGCTCCTTCCCAACAGCTCGCTCAGCAGACGGGGCTGGCTCTGCACCTCCGCGGTGCTCTTGCCGGTGCCCAACTGCTGCGTCTCTTGCTCGGGATTTAGAAATGCAGTTTGTCAGAGATGTGTCGCTGTCAGCTCGCACAGACTCCCAAAATCCCGTCCGAGTGTTTCATAACTCCTTGTTTGAAACTCATTTGTGATTCCTCTCTGGGCTGTGTTTTGGCTGTGCAGGTTCTGCTTCAGCAAATTGTGTCATTGTACTTGTCACCAGCTACCTTGTTCTTTAATGAGCTCCACGTGCTCTGGCACTGACGTGCGGCCAGAAAAATCAAAGCTTATTTTCATTTACATGTGTGCTTCTGTTTGCCTTCTTCTCAAGCTTACTTATTTGAAGAATGTAGTGCTTAAATGTTGAATTTAAGCACTTGAAATGTTGAAGAATACAGTATTTAAATGCTTCATTGTTACCCACAAGCCTTAAATGAAAAGGTGAGATAGAAAAAGCCTGTGCATCTATAGGGTATGAAGTACAAGATATTAAAATATTTCATGTTATAGTAAAATCTTGAACTGCTCTCACCTGCAGTGCACAACTAATGCAAATGCCAGTGCAGAGATCACAGGAGCAGAGTAGACCCACTGTGAACATTCCCCACTATAAATAAAAGGGGAGAAGGCCCTGATTTCCTCTAGTATATTTTTTCTTTAGTGCAAAGGAACTTGAATAAAATTTCTTATTTTGGTACTGGGTTCACTAACTGGAGAATATCAACTGTTGTAGTGATTGGTTACAAACTAGCAGATTCCTATCTTTCTTTTAGGCTAAGATTAGGAACTCCTGAAGATCTCTTTGGTTGTGACAAACTGTAAATATTTCATAGTGAAAGGTGAGGGAGGTGGTGGCTTAGGGGGAGCGGGGAAGGGGGTGTTGAAGAAAGTCTGTGGATCCCCAGAGCATGAGCTGCACTGTGACCTCGCATGGGTTCCTTTTTTGTTTCCTCTTCCAGTTTGAACAGGAGAACCAGAGACTCGTTGGCGAAATGAATAACCTCTTTGATGAAGTCAGGTACAGCTTCCTCTCCTTTGACACGCCGCTGTTCTGGCAGCCGGCGCCGCTCCTTCCCCGCGTGCGGCGGGTGCCGCAGGACACCCTGGAGCACAAACTGCTGGGCTGTGGCGGAGGGGCAATGACACGGGAGCGCCCACGAGCCCTTCGGTTCAGCTGCACATGGACTGTAGGAACTATAGGGATTTATACACTTGAAAGCAGCTTCCTAGCACTACGTGCACTCTAGGGAGTAGTACTGGTTATGTTTGAAATAAAGGCTCACGTTCTCACCTACGTTTTAACAGCTAAAGCTTTTCAGGCATAGCAAGTTGTCTATTCCATGCATGGAAAACAGCAGGAGAGGTGCAGTTCCCAACCCCCCTGGAGCTGCTGGCCTTTTGGCCGGGATGGTGGTGCCTTTTGCCCTTCTCCTGCTAAACCACTTAACTGGCTCAAAGTAGAACCCTCTCAGGTTATCACTGTTTGGTAAGATAAATTTCATACTTAAAAGTAACATATAAAAAGGATAGGTAAAAATTAACTACTTAGGGTCCACTGTGTCTTCTCCCAGTAGGGAACCTTTAAAGCCATAATCACTCATTATAGCTACGTAATAAACTGCTACCAAACTAACCAGGCCTTTTGAATAGCCTCATGTCAGTGGGTTTGAGAATGTGAATAGAAGCAGCAGAAAATGTTTGCACTAATTTCTGAGATAACTATTTCTGTTCTTTATCAAGACAAATTGAAGGAAAAGTGGTAGAAATCTCCAGATTACAAGAGATATTCACTGAAAAAGTCTTGCAACAGGTTAGTATACTTTAATATTACAGTAGCAAATATATCTTGCGGATTTTTTTCTCTGGGGTGTTTTGGTCTTGGTTGCAGGTAAAATACAAGATTAATGAATCTCTAATGCAAGCATGAAGGGAACAAGGGATTCTTTTTTTTTTTTTTTTTTACAAAAGCAAAGTCATGCTGGTATTTACTATTTTCACTTACATTCTTATTAATATATATTCCTAGTAGGAATGAAAAATGCAACTTTTTTTTTTTTGCTTAACAGGAAACTGAGATTGACAATATCCATCAGTTAGTAGTGGGTGCAACCGAGAATATCAAAGAAGGCAACGAAGACATACGAGAGGTACCGTTTCCAGCTGTGTCCCCTCCGGGTTCCCCAGGGCACAGTGCTGGCGCACGGTCACACTGTAGGCACCTGGGTCCTCCCCCTCTTGCCCTTTTGGAAGCCTCATGTCACTGATTTTCTTCCAGTCCTCAGGCATCCCCCCCGCCCTTCTCCATGACCTTCCCAAGATGATAGAGAGTGGCCTAGGGGTAACAGCCACCAGCTCCTGCAGCATTTGTGGCTGCCTCTCGTGGGGTCCATGGGTGTCAGGTTGGCCTAAATGAGCTCTAGCCTGGTCCTCCTCAACCAAGGCAAGTCTTCCTTTCTCTAGACTTCTTTGTCTCCAGGGCCTGGAATTCCTGAGGGCTGCTCTTAGCAGTAAAGATGGAAGCAAGGAAGGCATTCAGTATCTCTACCTCCTCTATAACTCTCATCACCCTCCCCAGTCAGGGGCAGACCCACATTTTCCCTACTCTTCCTTTTGCTACTTATATATTTGAAGAAGCCCTTCTTGTTGTCCTTGACATCCGTGGCAGATTTAATTCCAGATAGGCCACAGCCTTCGTCACGGCATCTCTGCAGCCCCAGACAGCACTCCTGTATTCCTCCTGCGGGGCCTGTCCCCCTTTCCACATTCTCTCTCCTCCCTCGGCCACACGGGTCTCCTGCCCCTCCTGCCCGACTTCTTCCTCGCAGGGTTGTGTCAATCCTGGCCTTGGAGGAGGGCTGCTCCCTTGGACCCCCTTCCTTCCAGGGTCCCATCCTGTGTAGGACATCCTAGGGCCCCATCCCATGGCATTCCTCCCAGTCAGTCACTGAAGAGGCTGGGCTCGAGTCTACTCATGGACCTGCTTCCTCCCTGCAGGAGCCTGAACTCCACCACTTCATGGGCAGAGATTCAGGGACCTGTACTCACACTGTGGTGCTAATTTCCTTTTTTCCTCCAGTTTCAGATTTGTAGGTAGAACTATGTTTCCTCAAGCACCCCGAGGAAACAATTGAGGAAGGTGCTAAATACAAAACCATTCATTCATATTAGTGCTTGCATTACGTGAAAAAAAATCCATTACACGAATAAATCTGAAGAAAGAGTAAAATAGGTCCCCTAGTGTTTGCAAGTGTCCATTTTGGGGAGAAGATGCGTAGAAAAATATTTGCTAGAATTGCTGCTTGCTCTACTTGCTTTGAGGCCTAAACACCTGATCAGCATTGCTACCCCAACCTCCAGAAAGCCCTGGTGGGGTTTCTTAGGTGGGAGATGTTTATTAGAATGATGGAGAATTGGCTTCTGATGACACAAATTCAATTTTGGAACTTAAAAAAAAAAGCTTTAAAATAAATGTGTAGATTTTTGTCATAGTTCTGTATGTTTTAGATATAGTGTCATTGTCTACGACTTTATTTATTTATTTATTTATTTAATGACTGGTTTTCAAAGAAACTTTAGGGGGGTAAATCCCAAGCACTGTAGTCAGCCTGAATTTGATCTATCGGAAATAAATGGTAGGTTTTGCCTCTGCCCATCTCATAGGGAAGGCTGCAGCCACTACCCGTCTTCGAGGGTTGTCGTTGTTGAAATATTTGTTGAACCTTTACTGGAAATGGTAACAGAGATTCCCTTTCTCCTCACAGGCAATCAAAAACAATGCTGGCTTTAGAGTATGGATCCTCTTCTTTCTTGTGATGTGTTCCTTTTCCCTGCTTTTCCTGGACTGGTACGATAACTAATTAAAAACATTATCTGCAAGCTTTGTTTTAAGAATTCTAGACATTTTTTTTCTGCGGAGTGGGATAGTCCTACCTGCATATTCTATGCATCATTTTTCATACTGCTATGATGGAAGTATTTTACAACAAATAAGTATGTGTGTATTAGTGCAGAGGGAGCTGATTACACTTGATAAAGGGACTTGAAATGTTAATCCAAACTTAATACTGCAAAGAACTAAAAAGGTTTGAATCAGCTGTTAAGAGAGCTGTGAGCAGTAGCAGAGATAGCAAAAGGAAAAAAAAATATTGCTGTTCACCCCAGTTGTTGATATTTAAAGTCCCCCTCCCCGTGTGCAGATCAGATCAAGTGAAAATTGTTATTGTGCAAAAGCAGCTAAGTTGTTGCAAGCATTTAATCATATTGTCCCTGTACGCCGTGAACATTTTGCATGTGTGACCTCCACTTCTGGTCTTCAAAAACTACCTTAGTCAGAGATCAAAAAGGTTGTTGATTTCAAAACCAAACCAAACCACCCACTGAAACACTTTACTTTGAGGTGCAAAGAAAATAATACAAAAAAAAGTGTAAATAAAACAAGTTCTGAGATGTTGGAACAAAGCCAAAGAACAGACAATATTAAGCCACACTCTTCAAAGTACTAAAATGGTGAGTAACATGTTCAATGCCAAAAAGCTCAAGCCAGCTGTAGATAAGAATGAAAGCTGCTGCCTGTGGGAGGCAGAGGAGAAGCTGCTGCTCCCTTCAAGCCTGGGAAGCGGCGAGATGTCTCACTAGATAGTAAAGCTTTACGCTTTGTAACGTTTACTGCTATAATGAGAGAAAAGTTGTCTGATTGTCTCTCATCTGTATTAATTTGAATTACTTTGTTATATAAAGTTGTTTTTATTGCCTTAAGTTTGAGAGGAGATACATTATGAATTGCTTCTATGTATGATAATCTTTCTACCTTGTAAAATCCAAATGGCCTCTGTAAATATGTTGATATGAACCATTTGTTTGGCTCTCTTCAGAAATGTATCATTATATGATATGCCACAAGCAGTATCATCCTTATTCTTTATTCTGTACAGAGTGAAAATGTCAAAAGTTACATGTGAATTAATTACATTCAAGAATGTATTTGCCTACTAGAAAATGCAAACAGGGTGTTTTGAACATTTTTAACATAACCTCGAAATTTTAAATGCAAAGAACAATTTGGCACATAATTTATTGCTTTTTATGCATTCCACTTAAAATGACATAATAAAAGCCTTTTACCAATATTACTGTGTAATGCACATTTCATATCGAACCTAGAGAATTAAAGAATAATGGTTATTTTTATTTGTATTGGTAAGAAAAGTTGTTAACAGCACAAGTCTACTGGAGAAGAATAAAAGTGGAAACGTGACCATGTTTTTCTATTTTCTATGCTGCGAAAGAACCCAGAGTCATGGGTTTTCCTTTCATTTTTGAATAGTTTCTACATAAACCAATGGAACTTTTGACATGTCCACCACACCCAGCCCATTCAAGTAATAAGAACAAAAACAGAGAAGGGAGCTGGTTACCTGAAGTGTTTCAGGCGCTCATTTCAACTTAAACATTAATGGGATGATTTCTGTTGTAATATATGTATTTGAGATTTATAATAAAAATGAAAACATAGTTTCATACTAAGAAGAGATGAGAAATTTGTCATTACAATGGAGCTTCAACGTGGATCCACAAGACTATGCCCATCTACATCCTCTCCCCTCCCAAGCCCTACGTGGACAGTTACACTTCTTTACTTCTTCACTCACTTTTCACATGTAGCCTCAACCCAGCGAGCTGTGGTATCTAGATGCTACTGTTTCACTGTGATGCTCTGTGTTTTTAAAAGTAGTAAACTGCAAACCATACATATAACTCAAAGATAGTCATAATAGATAAAAGGGAAAATGTTAATGTAGTAAGAGCAAATTTAGACATTACTCCATCTGTCATATCCAACAAATTACATAGTGGACTACATCTACTGTGAATAGGCTTTCTGCCTCTTAATATGATTAAAACATGTCATTTCTCATGAGAACATCCTTAATAACTTAATGATTTTTTTACACTAGCCTCAACATCCATTACTAAAAATGCCTGTGTTTTTCCATAGTGTCTTATCTAGTTCATGTTTCTGTGCACATCCTTACCAAGACGCTAAAGCCACAGTGGAAAATGCAGTTAAATCCTGTTGACAGCAATAATAAAACATTGAGCATGCCGTGTTGCAGAGAACTTCATTATCACTTACAAATCAACAACAGTAAAGAAATGTAAGAAAAAAGCTACCTCACATATCTTTCCTTTCTCCATACCAATCATTATATTATGCTCTTGCTATCAATGCTGATTTACCATTCTTGTTTGAGCAGAAATCAAATAAAGACACAGCTCTTAGCTAAACAAGAGATCACTCTAGTTATGGCTGTGATGTTTCAGTTTGCAAAATGACTAACAATAAGAAAAAGAATAAATAAAGTAAGTGCCAGTTCAGACAACAGAACACATGATTTATCTAAGTTTCAAGCCCTGCAAAATCCCATGAAGAAATCTGTCAGCATCCAATAAGTTACAAGACCATATATAACATTGGATTTCTTAAACATTGAAAATGGTGTCAAAGCTCTAAAGCGATGCTGATATGCACCTTGCTTTATGCCCATGAATGGTCTGCAGCAAATTTTTGTTTGGTTGCTCTTTTTTTTTGCAAAGCAGTATCAGCAAACAGAAGCAATTGCACCATAAACATGAGTAACCTCTAAATTATCCGTAATTATAATCAATGAAAAGTTCCTTAAAGTCCCTTAGTTACCTTCAAATGACATTCTGGTAATAATGAGCTTATCTGAGCTAAGCTGCTTTCTCAGCAGCCTCAGTCTCCTGTTCCGAGAGTTTCTCTTCCGACAGCACCGTCATCCAGGGCGACACGGAGCGCGTGATGGTTTGCTTGGCCAGGTTGTAGTGGTTTATGACCGTGTAAAATTTCCCTCGGGCACTGGAGTCTTGCTCGGAGTAGTAGTTTTCCAATCCAGCTGGAATGCACTGATTATTCTGGAAGGAAAAATCATTGCGTAGATTAGTGAGACACAGTGTCTGGAGAGTGATTTTTTTTTTCCCTGTTGGTCTGAGCTCCCTCCCCTTTGTGTGCGGTTAAGATGCGACACCCAGTAATTCCGCCGTGGTCAAACCCTCCTTCCCTCTGCTCAGACCTCACCCGCGTGCCGGGAGCAGCCACCTGGGCCTCTCTTCCAGAACAACAACGTACCAACACGCACGCCCACACTTCTTTTCACAAAGACCAAGTCTGCACCCACTTGCAGCCCTGTGTTGGTGCTTCCTCCTCCTTTCCCTCCCTCCTCACCCCAGCTGCACGGCTCCAGCTGTTTGAGCTGTGCTTACACTCACCCCATTTCTATCATTAGATTAGCACTTTGGGCACTTTCACTGGTTTTGGTCAGCGTGGTGAAAATTAATACCAGTATCTTGGTAGCAAGGCAGGGACAGGTGAAAAATGTCACGGGTGACCCAGCTCATGTGCACAGCATTCATACAAAATACCTGGCTCCTCCTTTCTCAGACAAGAGCAAGCTTTTAAAACCCATCCTGAAATGGGACTGTATTATGTAATTTCTCAGACGTTTGAGAGTACTATGTAGGAACTGCTGGTGCTCCAAGCTCCTGAAAATCAACTACCTGATTTAGATGGTTAAATACCAAGTCAGATTGTAACTTCACTGTCTGTTAAAAAAAATAAAAGTGAATGTGCATGAGCGATGCATTAGTCTGTGGGCAGCTTTTAGAAAGGCTGATGATGATGATGCGAGAGCCCTCAAGCAGCTGTTTGCACCGAAGGAGAACGATCCTGCCCGTGTGCCAGGTTTGCTCGGGCCTCTGCCTAGGATCCACCCAGTGCCGGCCGGGCCACCTGGCCTCGCACCCAGGGCCGGCGTTTGGGGTGGGAGAAAGGCCCTTCTCCCAGCCCAGCTGGGAGGAGCGGCAACATTCAGAGCAGCAGCGGTCAATCCTGTGGAACCTTCATGCAGCTGCTGGAAAGAGAAGAACCTGCCGGAGCTTCCTACTCCCAGCACTGCAAGGGCCCCTCTGCAACGCGCGGCGTTACGGCACAGAGCAGTGTCGCAGTTACTGCTCTCAGCATTCAGCAAGCAAAACTTTCCGCTGGAAACTTCTGAGCACAAAAGTACATTCAAGAATGTACTTAATAATCAGATACTCATCAGATTTCAAACATGTCCATATTTAGCTTAGGATCGAACCTCGTCTTAGTCAGAAAAAATATATATAACTAAACTAGCATCAGTAACAACTGTTTCAGTAACAAGCGTTTCGAACAGTAGACACCAGAAAACCCAAGACGCCAGGCGCGCGTTCCGCGTGACCAGGTTCAACGAGGCTCAGTTTAACTGGCACCAGTGGTGGCCCTTGCTCCTGCCATGCAGCAGCCAGGACAATCCTTGCCTCAGAGCGCGGCTCCTTCCCCCATTTAAAACGGGGAAGGAGCAAAATCCATTGAACTCATTAAACCTACCAGGGAAATTGAAGCCAATGGGATAAAATCATCAGTGTTGAAGACAAGCCAAGATTCCTGCCAGCCCAAAAAACCCACAGACACTGTAGTTGTAACAGAAGCCCTTTGCTCTGCCACAGGCAAAAACTACTGGAACGTTACTTTGTTGTAACCACAGAAGGGCCTAAGAAACGTGTTCCAGAGTTGTCGTCTTTGCTGTATTTCTGCTCCCCCAAGTCCGTGTTTCTGAGAGGATGAACTCAGAGAGGATGGAAAAACCTCCCTTGTGGCTCCCCGGCTCCCAGCTTCTGCAGATTGTTTCTCTCTACCCTTTTAGTTTGTTTTCATGGCACCCAAAACTACTGGAGAAGTAGGCAGAGAAGGAATGGCAGCAGAAGGTGGATGCTAGAGAGTGACCCTGCAGTCCCCTTTCTTTCCCAGCCCTTCTACTTAAAAACACTAGTTACAAGTTAAGGCCTTTAATGCCTGATAAAATCCTGGTTGCCAGTCTATACTGGACTGTTATTTAGATGGCTACTTTAGTCCTCTTGATACGAAGACCTCAGCAATATCAGTGTTTCACTTTAAAATAATATGTGTTTTATTAACTTTGCCAAGTCAATAATTTCAAACGTAATAGATGACTGTTAGCTTTAATGCACTGAAATTGCTTTGCTGATTATGAGTTTGCAGAAGGCAGATGCCTTGGCCACATAAAGAGTCACAGACACAGCACAGAGCACACTGAGGCCCTGGAGAAGTTTCTGCAGGGTACGAGCAGCTTCAGGTGTTGGCAGCTGAGCCCCAGCAGTGACAAGTGCTGCAGAGGAGGGCTGCACACAACAGCAAAGGAAGAGCAGAATTCGTTTATCAGGACAGCAGTACTAGGGCTGTCTCACCAAGCTTCAGCAAGCACAAATTAGCGCAAGTGAGATTTAAAGCCATTTTAAGATTTTTGAACAAAGGAAAACAAGCACCTTTTTAGCAGACTTTAAAGGCCTGGCTGTGCAGGACAGCGGCTGAAAACAGTGAAACCCCTGGGACAGCTCCACGTATCGAGAGTGTCAGCGCGGGGAGGAGCGGGTTTGATTCTCGGACATAAAGCTCTGCATACGCCTGAGCTTTCCATGGCACCAGCTCCCCTGAGCATCCAAGCCCAGGGACACCCAGGCCAGGGCAGTTGCTGCAGGCCCATGAGGCACGAGGGTCATCCAGAGAGTCATCCCAACGATGATGGGAGGGCACCAGCCTCTCCTCAGGCTCTCTTGGACCATCTGTGCCAAGCTGTGTCACGACACACACGCACACGCTCACAGAAACAGGCATGCACAGCAAACACAAACTCATGTCAGCACTGGTAGTTCCAGGCTTTTTAGCTTGCTTATCCTGGAGATGTACTCGCAGATGTAAACGACTGAAGACACTGTGAATCCCAGCATTTCACCTCTGAGCAAACAGGAAACTGCCTCCACAGAACCCACCACTGGGAGAGTAACACTCCATAAGGCAACACTCGGTGTGTGCTGCACCTTAAGAACAGAGCATCAGCCATGGGACGTCCTGTCTGGCTTGTTTGAAGCACCAGATCCTAAGGAGGGATAAACAGCCAAATTCTGTCAACAGTGCGACTGAAACACAACTAAGAAACTGTCCTCCCCTCAAATGCTGGTGATGCCAGAAGGAGAAGGCCACAGAAAACAGCGGGCTGCAACCCAGGGAAGGGAAGACGTGATGGGAAGGACACGGGAGAAGCAGAGGGCAGCTCTTAGCCGGCCATTCTCATCAAGCCAGGATGCGCTGCAGGATCACGCGGCCCGTGTTCCAGAGTGCTCGAAGCCAAGAGAAAGCTTGGGAAAAAACCTGTCCTCCCATGAGACGTGGGCACAGAGAGGTTTCGCAGCTTGCCTGAGATGACACCCCTCCCATGAGACGTGGGCACAGAGAGGCAGCTTGCCTGAGATGACACAGAAAATACCAGCAGAACCAAAAGCTGAATCTCCCGAGTTGCAGACAAATGTTTCGACCACAGTCGTTTTGTTTTCCTCCTCTTGCACCAAGAGGAGGAAATAACCTAAAAATGGTTGGAGCTACATTAATCCAGTACAGAGTGACTGACTACAGCTTTGACAGGATTCTGTTAAAGTGTCCGTGTGTCCAACGTGACAGGCACAGAAGGTTCTGCACAGGTTTTTCAGGAGTGCTGAGGCAACCACTTCTGCTGGAATCATTCTGAAGTTACGCAAGGTACCTGCCTGAATAGATATGCTTAAAAGAACATCTAGATGAAAGAGTGCCATCATCAACACTACTTTTCTTACCTAACTGCAGTAAAGTCCAACCTTGCTGAATTTATAACTGAGAAATCCCCTGTTTCCCTTTTGACTTTCAGCCCAGGTCACAGCTGAAGAGCCAGCACTATCATCTTGAAAGAATTATGTGAGTCCAAACATCCCTTTCAGTTAGCCAAAGTATTTTTTTTCCCAAATAAATGTATATTTTCCCTTTTTGACATCATTTTTGGCCTGTAGTGGTAGGGCTTGGAGGTCACTGTTCTAGAACAAGAAGTTCTTTTTACTGCCCTTATTTAACTCTGCTACTCTTAATGGAAAGATTACTTCCCTATTTCTGTGACATATATTCCAGAGCCAATTGCCTTTCTCCAGGTTTTAGATTTATCGTTATGTTTTTTTCTTACAATGTGTGAATTTGGAGGGACCATCCAAGGGTACGGCCCGATAAATAAGGGCTTTGCTCAAACAGGTGCAGCTGAAGTTGGTCTGAAGGACACTGGTGTGGGACCGGTGCTGTACTTTTTTACTATTAACAGAAATAATGGTAAACATTATTAAACTAGTGTGATAGCCACAATCCCCCTGACAAATTAAGCAGAAAAACACATCAGGAAGCAGTGACCTATGAAACAAGCACTAATTTGTATGCAATGCAGCATCAAGGTTATGCAGAAAACTAAATACTCTTCTGTTTTTCTAGAACGTGCATGCAATTTACCTTGAAAACAAATCCTTCTGGACAGGTGTGATCATACTTGTAAACCTTGTAGACTACCAGGAATACAACACACGTTAGGAATGCAAGGGCAAAAAGAACCAGCACAGTTACCTGTAAAGAAAACAGAACACACTCAAGTGAGCAAAGCACTGCTTGTTACATTGCTGTTTGTAACTGACCTCTGCCACCTTCAACAGCAAACTCGCTTTGCAGTAAAATCAAGCAAAGGATAAAAAAGGCTATTCAACTATTGAGGGAGATGAGAGAGAGGCACCTGAGTGCCTCTGCCTCCCCCTTCTTCTCATAGAAAAGGGCGGGTCAGCTCCTCAGTGGCCCAGTGGCCGGCACAGGGAGGCTTTTCGGATTGCTTTTCTGTTCCACACACACACGAGGCCACAAGGACACATGGAGGTAGTCTGGGGTTTGGTCTGCTGCTCTTCAAGTGTGTGTGAGCAACGTAAATGGGAGTGTAAGTTTACGTCAGCTGCCACTGGATAAACATGTTTGTTTACCCCTTGCCTGGCCAAGAATGGAGTAAAATGATAATAAATTAACACAGGTGTCACCCAAATAATAAAGGTGACTGACAGGGCAAGGAGAAAGTAACGTCTGTCCCTTCTTGTTAGGGGTAGCGTTTGTTACGCCCGGTGCGTGCGGATGGTTACGCCAACAGCCCGCAAGCCTGGACGCCCAGTGCTCCAGAGCGCACCGGTTATTTTGCGGCCCGGCCTGCCCGCCGCCCCCGGGGCTCGCCGCTGCTTGAGCCGAGCCTGGGACGTGCCGTGAGCTCAACCTGAGATGAGCTCAGGATCAGGCCAGCCATCCCAGGGTTAAACCCTGAGCAGCTGGAGCCTGGGAAGCCTTTTCAGTAACACAGGAAACAAAATTACCTCCAGTGTTTCCCTCTGGCCAGGAAAAGCCCATGGGTTTTGGGCCTAGCCGTTACCCTGCAAAGCTCCCCCATCAGATCTCTTTCTTTTTGCAGAAGGTGTGAGCTGAGCAAACAGCATCATTACTTGGGAGAATGTCCTAGATGGGAATTGTTAATTTTCAAAAATTTCTACTCAAACACAAATGAGAAGCTCCCAGAGGTTACGAGAAGACCACAGAGTAGGAGTGGTTGAGATTTTTTTTTGGCAAATAAGAAAAAAAGCCAGCATCTCTCACAGCATTAAAAATAAATAAATAAATATAGCTAAAGATAAAATAAAACAAATTAATAAAGGACAATGTGATCTATATTTTAAATAAATATGGGCAAACCGAGTATATACACAGCCTAAAAAAAAATCAACATATCAGGGTCAGTTATTCTAAGGAAAAAAAGAGGTATTTTAGGAAGCAAGGAAAACAAAAACATACAGAAAAACCCAGAGCCTTCACACTACCATTATGATAAACCCCAGAACTACCAGGATTTGTAGCACTGCAAACCCTGCATCTGGCAGCAGGGCTAGGGCTAATAATGAAAGACCAAGATGAACTTCACAGACGCCCATGCTGGGAAGCCAACGTCACCATGGCCAGGTAGCAGCATGTGCTAAGCTTCTGGTGGACACCAGCCTGGGGAGCAGAACCTGCTGCAAAAAGCATGGATTTTACAAGGATAGCACCAGAAAATAAGCAAAAAAAAACAGAGGACTGGAAAAGAGGGCAAGGAAAACCACAGATTGGAAAGTAATTTAGCAGAAAAAATGTAAATACTAATGTAACTGTGCCAATCTAAATGAGAGAGGAAGCAAAGGGCCTTTCTGGTTAATAGTAACATATTCAGTTTCCCAGAACAATCATTGGATTAAAAGAGGAAAAAAAAAATCTCATTTTTAATCACCCTCCGAAAACCTCACACTGACATCAATTCTCAAATCCGATTAGCCTTCCCCCAACTTTATTACTCGTTTGGGCAGCCAAGGGTTAACCCAGGTGGATTCCTGTCCTGCCCTGCACCCATAGCTTGGCCATGTCCCGTGTGCCCAAGAGACCATGGTGGTTTCCTCCTTTCCTCCTTCCATATGTGCGCCCAAGAGACCACTGGGGTTTCCTTCCATACTGCCAGCATCCCCGACCAGGCCGAGGCCTGAGCGCCTCTCTGCTCCCACCACACACACAACTCGCTCCAAGCCGCAGTTTTGGGTCATTCCCTTCCCGCACTGCAACCCGCTGGCTCCAAGTCTATGTGATCCTCCAGCGTCTGCTCTGGCAGTCATCCCTCTTCCCTTCAGAACAGGGATAGAGAAGAAGGAAGAGGCAAGAGAGCGGGGAAGTGGGGTCATTGCCATGGCTTCTGTGGCCTCCAAGCCTTTTCTGCAGAGCCACGAAGAAGGCGCCTTCCCACAGAGAACCAGCCTTCGATGGGGGACACTGCCGCCAAGCGGAGCTGCAGTTGGGTCCCGGTCACGACCGTCTCCTCCATGGAAAGGGGTAAACATTTCAAAATGCTTTGAAAAACATCCACAAATTTCAAAGGATCTTAAACCTGCTCTGCGCCCATCCTATTGGCAGGGAATAGTTTTATAATTTTACTATTTCCCAGCCGTGAGCACTCTGTCAAGCTGACAAGCTATTTTGTAGTTGAAACCAGTCTTAGGGGTGATATTTGTAAGTGCACAATCATTGGGCGATCGCTGTCTCTAGGACTCTGGAGCTGTTCTGGAAGGCCGTTAGACTTTCTGAAGGAGCCCGGTGCTGGGCACACTGCGGGCCCAGCCTCCGCGCCGCTGGCCGGGACCCTGCACCTTCACCTGCCTCTGTGGAGCTGCGAGTCCTCGGAGCTCTCACAGGTCACAGCTAAGATGGCTCCTCCAGCACCACACAGAGCGCCACTGATAAGAGCCAGGAGCCCTGAGAGCTCTTAACTCGCAACAATCATTCTCTCTCACTTACTTATTGAATTACCTAATCTTATTAATTTTAGTATTAGCATGTAAATTTTTCCTCTTGTTATCTCCAATAATTTGTAATCACACTCCATGTGCAAATCCCTAATCAAGTAAGCCCTTGTCTCCTTCCTAACAGGACAGGGGCTCTGTTCTCTGACCATCCTTCAGGATACCAGCAACCCGTGCGCAAGGAAAGGAGCTGCACATACAAATGACACAGATGGAAGGAAACCCAGCAGTGGATTTCCAGATGATCCCATTATTAATCCAATTCACTTCTCTCCTACAAGCTGAAAATCCTCCTCTTCCTTCTAACATTTTTTTCCTTCTCTTTCACAAATACCCACCACTAATGATGCACAACTCTCTGATCCCCGGCTCACTTCTAAGCCTGAGCGGGTCAGCACATTTTATTGCTTTCTGCCACAGCAACATTGCAAGCTAAACGTTCCCTGTGCAGGCTAAGGGAAAGTTAACTACAAGGAAGCACTATCAACTCTTTCCTTAAACCAAGGACTTACAGTATGGTTTTGTTTTTATCTTCAAGGTATCCTTTAAAGCTAGTTTTAAGGAGATCTGGCAGCAGATCTCAGTGAACAGAAGAGATGACAAGATATTATGCAAGTGGCAGATTTTTGAATAGATTGTAAGTGAAGAGCAGAAGGACAGTGTCTAGCCAGAAGCCATTACAGTAATCGAAATGAGAGCTGACTAATGAATGAACTAAGTGTACCCATGGCAAAAAAAGACTATCTTCAGACTCTGTAAGCATTTAGCCAAACAAATTACACTCACTGGATCTGACAACTATACTAACACGTGAACGGCTGGTGACAAGGCCGGACCGTCGAGGTTTGCTACGAGATCCTCCCGCTCAGCCCACCACACGCTGCTGCAGCTGCAGAACGCTGCAGGCTCTGCTCTCCTCTGCCTGGCTGCGGCAGCCTCCTCCTTCCTCACTTTTCTAACATTTATCTTGCTCCCGTTTTAATCAAATGAGAATGCACAGCAATATTCATCAATTGCACCAGCTATGCCTACTTCTCTTCACATCCCTTCCTGCTTCTGTCTCCTTTTTTCCCCATCACACACCTCTCAAGAAGTATAAAATCCACCCAAGAACACTCATGTTGCTACAAGCAAGGGAACTAACAAGACATCTTCACTGCTCAGTCACTGGCACTTGGTCACATCTCACCTCTATTTTTCACCCCTGCATTACCTATTTCAATGTAGCCTCCCAGGAACACAAGCTTTGTTTCTGATTTGCCTGTAACCTACCAGCACACACTTGGTGCTAAATAAAAAGAGTGAAGACGTGCATTTATAGAGCACTTTTCATCTGCAATGATTTACAATCAATTTATGCTTTGCTCACCAGTGAAAGGCAAAGCTCTCTCAGATGAAATACAGTAACTCTGCACAACCATTTAGGACAGGAAATTAAGATTATTGCTATCCAATTTAAACTACAGAATTTTAGGCAGGCAGACTGTAATTACAATAGATTGAGCCTGGCTACATCCCACAGACTAGAATTTGTGGAACATCACGTTGACTTCCCTGCAAATGGCCACGACCTCGATTCGACCTCTCTGCACCGAGATCCTGCGTCTCCAACTGCACCGTGCCACAGAGCAGGGAAATGGCTCTCCGCCTCCTGGAACATTTATGTTTTTCCATCATCCTTTTCCTGTTTGCTCTTAGCCTGTCTGTAAAACTCTGCACGCAAGATGAGCCCGAGACAATATGGGTTAAGAGGTAATAACAAAGATTCATCCTGAAAAAGATGGCAACATGAAAGAAAATAAAGGGCTGTGCACTTATCCGCATGTAGGATGTGATCCAGATGCGCTCGTGCCGCAGTCCCAGGTGTGCAGAACAGTTGGGTTAAACCACCATGGGAAAACACACGGTATTTCTGGGGGCTCAAAGGACAAGTAGGTGCCTCCTTTCAGGAAGGCATTTCTAACATCACTTATCATCACATTTGGCTATATGACCAACTTCTCTGCCAGAACATTCCCCACCAAATCTTTGTGCTCAAAGAAGAGAAGAATCTTGGGGTAGACTGTAACAAAAGGCAAAAGAAATCAAAGCACTGCCCTTCTCTAACAGATGACAAAGAGGAAGATAGCACTTGACTCTCACTGACTTGAGAAGTTACCCAGAGATGACTGAGCAGTAGCAAAAAAAGGTCTCATGGTCTCATAAGGCCAGTAACTGAAAACAAGAAAAAGCTCTAGAGCCAAGTTCTTCCTATAAATGACAGTGCAAGGAGCTGCTTAATGAAACCTGAGGGAGGTACTGCCAGGAGGCAGGTACCAAGGCAGGGGCCTCCAGAGAGGAGCTCTGTGGTTTGACAAGGCTGGTCAGGACACAGAGCGTCCCCGTCACGTCCTTGCGTGGCGCTGCACCACCTACCAGTGCAGTAACAGTGCTACAGAGGAAGCAGCCCAAGAAACCTCACACCCTGAAGCGTGGACCTCCTTACCTTCCCATTCCAACCCCAGAAAGGACCAGCAAGGGCAGGAGAGAGGCTAGATGAGGTTGCTACATCTCAGGAAGGGCTGTGTAAGGCTGCTTACACCAGGAGAGACCCAAAGCACCTTCTGGGTCACTGCAGTCTGTGGTCCTGCTCCAAGAAAAGGATTTCTAAGCAGTGCAATGGCACAGGTCACTTAAATCAGACCAGAGGGGTTGATGTTAGGCACCCATTCCCCTTCTTTAAAAAAAAAAAAAGGAAAATAAAGTATTAAAGAAGAAAAGGAATTCAAAAAAGTAGTAAAGATAGTTGTCCCACAGTGCCTTTACTTTAAAAAATAGTGGCTATAATAAAAGAATTGTTACTTACTTTTTATTTTTCTTGCTTAAGCAACATAGGAAAGATTCAAAGCCTAAAGCCTGCCAAACTCGTGAACAACTTTAAACAGAACTACTGACGGCTGCCATCCCCAGCACTACGTGACAGCCAGTAATACCAAGCAATTACTAAGTAAAAAATATATATTTAGTAATTACTAAATAATAGTTAAACTAAGAAAAACAGGTAAACATGTTTTAAAGGATGGCCCCTAAGACTGAGCAATAATGGAACATTTATTAATGTTAACATGTTAAAACAGACATTTTCCCACCTTTTAAAATAACCAAGTAAAATTTTAAAAGAAGGTCTCCCTGTCCCAACTTCATGCAAGCGTTTACGTCACTGCTTGCTACTTGGTAGAATGTGGCTCGTGCCACAAGGTCTGGGCACACCGAAGCTTCAGGCCTTGGCTCTGCAGTTCCATGGGTGCAGATGAGGCAAGGGCACAGTCTGCAGAACTGCTGTGCCTTTGTATGGAACCACAGGCTTCAAGGTACACCACAGTTTCATTCCATTTAAACCTTTCTGCTTGGTTGAAATTTCCTGGGAAGCATAAGTATTTGCTTTCAAAATACCCAATGTTCTTTATTCGGGTTTTCCCAAAGATAAAAATTTTGTGCCTTGGTGCAGCAGACTGTTTCTGAAATTGGTGTGCTTGTGTGCAGCAGACTGTTGTAGCTCAATACAGTGGGAGCCAGAGCAGACATCCTACCACGAAATCCAACTGCAGTTTGTAAAAATGCTGTCCAGCAATGGAGCCAGAAGTTTGGCCCAGGCTAACTGATACCATCAATTTTATCCCGCAATAATTTCCTTCTATCACCCAATTCATAAATCTCTTTTGAAATGACAGTTCCAGCCATGCTGTACTGTTCTTTATAGCAGATGATTTACACGAGAGGAAAATCTGCCTCCGTGAAAATTGCTTACCATTTGCTTACCAGACGTGAAGGACCAGCTCCCCACATTACCTACACTGTCCAAAGAAAGAGGCTACCAGTTCTCAATGAAAAACATGATCTTCAGTGAAAAAAAACACCTCACATCATATTTGGTGTGATTACTGCTGTAAAACTAAAGGGTTCACAGAATCGGGAAGCCTTCGCATTTTGACCTTCTGGGATTCTTGAAACAGATTCTAATTTGAATTCAGAACTTAACACACAAAACCACTGCATTTTCCCTTGTAAACATTCTCAGCTCTGTTGTTTTAACTGTCATAATGTGAACTGAACACAGAGAATACTCTTACTCAGCTGCTAAACACCAAATGATCTACATGCCACAGGCACATGCTGGAGTGGCTTCACTTGCTGTAATGTCTAATTTCTCAAGAAAACTGAGCTTCTGATGATCTGTGCTACCGACTCCCCCAAATGCTGTCAGCTTTGTCCTTATTTAAGGACTACATCTTAGAATACACCTGTAAATTATTAGCAAATACAAGTGACTGTTTTTATTCTTAGTGCCACGTTTCATTTTACATCTTGTGGCAAGCTTATGCATTGGTGATGCAGAATATTAAAGCCATTAAAACAGCTTCTAATTTTTTTTCCAAGACAAAGTCAATATTCCATCAGTTAAATAATGCATTTTATAATTATAGCAAATATTTAATTTTCAAACAAATATCATTTTGCTCTCTCAGAATCAACAGCAGCCATTAACATGATAGTTCACAATTAATAAGGACCCAGGAGAAAAACCTCACACAATCAGTACTTTTCATCTACATATTTATGAAAAAGCATCAATTATTCATGAAATATTTACTACTGGGAGTGGTGAATATGACAATCATGCCTGCTTTTTAAAATGTTACAAGCAGCATAATTTAATTCAAAAACCGTTGTATAGAAATTAAGGAACATTTTTAGGACCCGATTGTGCTGCACAAAGCTATTGTTTTCAATTAACTGAACCACAGTTTTCCTAATTGATCAACCCCCACGCCCTCCTTTCAAAGCCTAGACTTACAGCCACAGTGTGAATCATCATGTAATTCCCAAGAGCAACCAGATCTCACTGAAACCTCTCTCTGATGCAGCAGTTACCTAGCAGCAGAACCTAGCAACCCTGTAGTATGAGATTAATCCCTGAGCGATCATCACAAAGTAATATCTAAAAGACATTTTAAGTATGCCATCCAAAGATACATAAAAATGCAACATCAAAATGCTCTGGCATCTAACTGCTCAGCCACACAAATTGGAAATGACTATGCAACAGCATGACAAGGTATTTATTGGTTATTCTTTGCTCAACTTTCCCAAAGACAGATCTACAAAGAGATGTATGTTCGTAAGTAAAACGTTTAGATCAGCTGAGATACTCAAAAATCCTTCCTCATCTACACTTTAATCTTATAAAGTACCTTACTTGCTATATTTCTGCTATTGTTAAGTGCAAATACCCAAGAATAGTCTGCTCGACTGTATCCTTAGCAGATATTCAGACTAAACACTCTTACCTGCAATGTTATAGGAATTTTCAGAGCTCCTTTTAGAGTCCTTTCAAGATCAGAACTCGCACAGAGGGGAAAAATAGCCCAAAGTCCTGAGATATATTTTTGGGTAAGATGTAGACAGGTATAAGCCTCACCTGAGAGGAAGAGGGTTAATCTCAAGGACCAGAACCGTGGATTCAGGACAAGAAAGAGAAAGAGTCAGAATTCCCAGAAGAATCTTCTGAGGGATGGGATGTCCTTGCTCCAAATCAGATGAAGAAAAAACTGGAACTAGGCCTCATTTCCTCAGTAAATCCCTGTCACACTCATGACATCTTCTATCACCCAGTTTGAGCAGGTTCGCCACACACCTTACAGAGAACTTACAGATTTCATTATAAGGATGAAGACTCTACCAGGTGCCCCACACTAAAACATCTGGCAACAATTCCAGGTACAGCTATGTATATGTTTCCGAATGTAACTTTGGGGTTAGAGAGCTTTTAAAAGCATGGGCCAGGTACAATTTCTGTGTTTTATTCTCCATGTTACAGAGTTAGAATCATTAGGTGCATCCTAAAATTCGAATCACCAAACAGGGGCTATGTACAGAGGTGCTATGTAATGAGAATACATATTTTTATTGCAACCTGGCATTTCTGTTCAGGCTAAATGAGAGGCTTTCCACCTTTGTTGTACCTGTGCACTGAACAGCATGGTTGCCTACTGTTTTAAAGACGCCTTGGCATCCTTGGGTAGGATGCCCCGTTAACAGCACTGGAAAGTGATGGTCTTTGCTTATTAAGACAACAGGTACAAAAACATGATCAGAAGTGCAACCTTCCCTGCTTTGCTTTGCTTCAAACCTATTCTCCAGGGAGAAACAGGAAAGATAGCTCGAGCCTTGCATCAGTTAAGCTCCCAGCTTTCCCCTGAGGCTACTCAAGCGAGTAAGAGTGTGGACACCAAGGAGCAGACCCGAGTCACTGATTCGAGCTGAACTGCCAGCCTCCAGCAACAGTCATCACCAAGCTGGAAGGGACAACAGGACCAGGAAAATTGATAGCAGAGAGGTCTGGTGTATATCCCTGAGCTGCCAAGTCATACATTAAACTGTGAAAAAATACATAATGGAATATGACAGTGCTTAAATGAGAATGGCTTGGCTACAGTAAAAAATAATAACCCAAAAAGAAAACAGATACTCGTGTGGTTCTTGTCCTTCAACACAAACAGGAGCATCACCCATGCAGGGAGACATAACTGTGCACAGCCCACATACACACCTGGCAGCAAAGTGCCCAAACCCACCCACTGCCAGAGGTGCCCTATGAACTGACCTGCCAGGGAGGAATTAAAAGCAATAATGCTGCAAGAGTCTGCTTTTTATTGCTAAGTACTGAACTATTTTAACATTGATTTTTTTCCATTTATTTTTCAGTTGTACCTACAACAGCCATTGTGTTAGCAAAAGCCAGTTTTGACTACGATCGGCAACTGATTTTAAGCACTTCTGTGAGCACAGCTGAGTCATTATGATCTACAGATAACACTGCTTACCTTAAATCTTTCCGAGACCCCTTCGGTGATGCTGATTGTGAATTCAGCTATTTTAGGAGTGCGGAACTTTCCCTTCTTGCGGTCAGGTTCATATTCTGTTTTCGTTTTGACCACGACCTTAAAGAAAAAAAATGGAAGGAAAAAAGGAAATCAAGGAAAGCTGTCAGTACCTTATTAAAACATCCTCAGGTAAATTTGTCAAGCCTAAAACTCAACATCATATTTACTCAAGAATTAACTAACTCACCCAGGAAACAATTTCCCTCGTGCAACCCAAAGCATAGCAGTGCTTTTATTTCTCTTATCTGCCTACAAGGGCTTCTAGCACAATACCAGGCATTTTCCCACTGTGAGTAATTGCTCTGTGGAAGCTCTAAGTTGCCAGTTATTTTTTCCTATCTATTGTTTTCAAAGCAATCGCCAGCAAATTTTCTCTCGAAGTATTTCTCAAAAGTTCAGAGTGTTTTTTTTTTTTTAGTTCATCTGCCTCTGTGCTGCTATAGCACAGAGACATTTATTTATTTCAAGTCCAAATTTATGACGAAACATCAACTTCATGCTGTTTGTATAGTTTGAGAATATTCACTTCCATTTGCTTCAGGAGATTCTAATAATGTGATTTCAAACCACAGACCAATGGGATCAGGTGGTTATTTAAGAGGGCCCTTAGAAATTTACCATCAGCAGCAATATTCTTTGATGGCACCATTTTGAGTTTGAAAGAAGAGATATGACCCACCTAGTTGCTGTTCCATATGTGATAGAATGTAGTTCTTTGCACTGTACCTGTAAAGTCTCAGATAACTTTGAGATTATTTGCTATAAGCAGCAAGATGCACAGAAACCCTTACAAGTTAAGTTCATCTCCTGCTATGAGCTATTGCCCCAAGCCATAAGATTCAGCATCTTACCTCTATTCCTAAAATATTCATTACCTTAGTCATATCTCTAGTGCTCTCCTAAGCATTCTAGCTGTACAAAATTTTCACCTACGTAGCCTATTTGCCTCACTTCTGTATTATACAGATTTTATGACCTTTTCAAAGTATCACTCTCAAAATAGCAAGCTGTTTATTGTACTGACTGTGCTGTTTAGATTTACTTTTTTTTTTTCCCCTTATGCTCTAAACAATAAATGCGCAATTCCTTTCAAACTGTTAGAATTGGGTACTATTGTTACCTTATGCTATCAGATACTATTGTGTCACTCTTTCGCCTAGCAATTATGTTATTGTGAAATTAGGACTGTGACACTTACAGGTAGCCAGGTACTGAAATCAAAGCTTTTGGTTTCCCTTCTCGCTCCTCATTTACCTGAAATGATATCTTGAGTATGTAGTTGTGCCTAGGCTCAGTACCACAAAGTTTAATTAAAAATTTTAACATTAAAAACATTTAAAATGTTACACAGATATGTACAGGACACAGGGAAAGTAGCTTCTAAATCTATTTTCAGCTACAGTTATAATAATTATATAACTTTCTGTATACCAAACAGTATCACAGGAGCAAACTGAAGATTTTTGGAGTGTTTTTAACATTTTGCTTCCCTTCCTCCCCCTTATGTTGCATAATATCAGGCAACTCACATCACATTCAGTTGCTACTGAACTGAACATACAGTTCTATCTGCTTGGTTATGTAATGTCTTCTTTTGTTTAACATACCTAAAAATGAATTTAGATCAATTCATCCACTTAATTTAGAAGCTGTCAAAATCATCCAAATCATCTTTGTGCCATCCTCTCTACTAGTCTTGAAGCCGGGCTTCTCTGCCATACTTGTCAGTGAATAATAAGCACAGATGTGAGAAGTATGTACTCCGATTTATTATACATGAGCGTCTTTGTACTTCAGAATTTGATTTGTGCGTCAATCCTGACTTACTACGTTTGCTGTTTTTCACATCCATTGCCCTACTGCCTTTTCGACCATAGCAGCCAACAAAGAAACACTAACGTGACTTATCAGGCAGCCACAGAACAAAGCCAGTCGGGGTTTTTATTTTCCCCTCCATGTCTGCAGAAGGAAAGGAAAGCGAACGCACAAACGGACAGCGGGGAAAGACGGAACGCCAGGCGGTGCTCCCTTTTCTCGCGTTTTAAGTCTAGCCGTGTGCTTGCTTTTGTTCGAGGCAAACCTGGTGAAGGTGGGAGGAGTTCTGCCCAGCGCGTCTTTGTCAGCCAGAGAGCCACAGGAGCAATCAAAGCAGCACAGATCCTCACGGCTCTGCAACGGGATGGCACTTGTGCTAAATCTCAGACCACACTGAGACCTGCGTGACAGCAGAGTAGCACAACAAATACCTCTGGTTGTGGGTCCTCAGGAACCAGCTACATCCAGTCACCAGTTGGCAGGTTACTGAACACATGAGACTTAAGTTGTTCTAAAGCCTCAGGGTGGATTTTTGTCCTCAGTTATGGGATTTACATCCATGTAACTCAGGGTGAAAAACAGGCCCTAAGGCTCCAGAGCAGCTGCTATGGCTTACTGTATTTATGCCTGCCAACTGGTCATCACGTTGAGAACAGAATGATGTTGAGAGGCATTAAAATGGAGATCACAAATGTAGCTGTACTGCCTACAAGCAGCATGGTACACAGCAACACAGAAATCTGAATTCTCTATCCTTAACATAAGAATAGGTGATTATTTTAAGCTACAAGGAACTTTACCTATCATTTCATCTTATCTATCATTTCATCTTAAAATAAAATTGAGCTTTTGGAAGACATGAAGCCAAAACCAAAAATCACTCTGAGAATCATTTAAAAGCTAGTACTGACCATTCCCCAGTTCAGTTGTTCATTTTCCAATGATCATACAGGTCTTTTGCCAGCTGCACATCCGAAAAGTCAGTATCTGGAAACGTATCTTACTACTGGATGTAGTAGCATACTACTTACAGTAACATTTACTGAATCATTGTGAGAGGAAGCGGCATATTTACCAGCGGCCACATCATTTTCCTACGTTAAATCCCTAGCATACAATGAAGAAAGCAGTGTGCACACTGTAAGCAGCCCCTCGGACTGTTCCTGTCTAGCCAAGGACAACTGAATCCGTAATTTGGAGGTTTGGGGCTGAATAACCTGCCAGGAGAAGCAGAGCAGGCTGTTCCCCTCTGGCTATTTCGGCACGTCGGGAGTCCCACGGAGGCACCACAAGGCACGGGAGCCCACGCTGGGGCCGGGCTGCCTACGGAGAGATGGAGCAGCGCCTTCCCGTTAGGGGAGGTGTTCCGACACTGAGAAAATCCATGCAATTCACAGGGCATATCCAGCACCTTCCAGATACTGAGAGGAAACACAGAACGAGAAGGGATATGCCAGGCAGCATGGAGACCTATGTCCCCATATTCCTGGCAGCACCAGGGTCTAAACACCCTTATTGCTAGCATTTTCCCTGCTTTTTCCTCGATAACTGGAGTAATTTCGATGCAGATCAATGCGGGGGTTTTCGTCAGCGGAACGGCCGCCGTTTCCCCCGATGGAGGCGAAACGCCCGCGCCGGGAGGCGCCGCGGGGCTCCCCGCCGGCAGCCGCTCCTTTGTGCGCTGCGGCGCTGCCCGGCCGCCCTACCCACCTTGTCCGGAGGTGGGAACTGGAGCTGGTTGACGTCCAGGGGCGTGATGAGGGGGATGGTGTCGAAGCCATCCTCCAGGAGCGGCTGCTTTGTGCTCTTCTCGCTGAAATTGTTGCCCAGCTTCACCATCCTGCCGGCAGCGCA